AGTTCTCAAAGACATCGGTCAATAATAAAACATCTGTCTGAAGATATAAGTCGTGATACTGTCCCAGGTTTTTTATTTAAAGTGGTCCCATATCTTAAGTGCCCTTTCGTATTCGGTGTCTTTGATACCTTCCTCTGTTAGCTTACTGTAAAAGGCTTCTTTACTTGGTAGCTGTGTATCGTTAAATTTTTTGAAGTCGGTAAAGTAGTCGTAAGGATAAACGCCCTTGTCTGTTAATAGATCCAAGTCTTCATCGTTGGTTATATATACGCTTTTCTTACTGTTGTAGAAATTTTTCTGCCAGTTCTCCCTCTTCTCATTATCCTCATACTTAGTTAGCTTAACAAGCTTGTCTAAAGAAGACGACAAGAAGCTGAAGCTGTCCTTAAACTCAAGTTGATTAATTGAGAAAGTAATGAATTTTTCGCTGTTCTGTGCTATTACATTTATTTTATCTTTGTCTGCGTTTAGCTTCTCCATGTGTGCTATTATTAAGTGGGCGTCGTAGTTCTTAAGGTTGTGAAAGAATACCGGGATCTTGAAATATTTAAAACAATAATCCAAGTTACATTTGTTGTGTGCCGCTCCTCTATATGCACCTGTGAAGTGACAGTGGTCGGCCACCTTCGTTTTAGCCGGGTCGTTGTTGTCAAACTTGCCATTGCATAAGAAACAATGCTTGGCCTTCTTGTGCTCTTCTTTCTGTTTAGCCGACCATTGTATTGGTTTATTTTCTTTCATCTTTTCCATAATTTCGTTCTTGATCTTGTTTATTGTTATACAGAACCTTTCCATGCAATCTTCGCCCCTGTATAAATAAGGTGTTGCTTCGTTGGTTATGCTATTAACAACATTTAACATAAAACCGCACGGTTGATGATGTTGATACGATCCTTTGATGCCTTCAGTTGTTGGTGTTGTCAGACACTCAAAGTCGCCATATATGACATAAGGACATTTTAATTTTTTGTAGTGATTTTTGAAGAACATCTTTTCGTCTTCCTTGGGCATCTTCGTTTGTTGAACTTCGTTCGCCATGCATCCTTTTATTAGGTGATTGTTCAATAACTTCTCATTAGTGAAACCGTGCTGACAATACATACAATGAAACACCTTTCCTTTGTATTTGTTGGTTTGTGCTCCCATTAGCTTGTTGTAGTCTTTTATTAAAACATAATGATTATAATTGTCTCTTTCTAAAAGTAACAAGTTAATGTGACACGATGGTTTCTGAATATTCGTTATCCTATCAACTACAATGGTGTTTGTTCCGTTTGGATCAATGGCATAAACATTCACTGATATGGTGTTTTTATTGATTTCTTCAAAGTGGTCTATGTCTGAAAGCTCCGCTGGAAATTCTACACCTTCCCAATTGATTATCCCGTCCTTTAAGCTTCTATAATGATACATTCTATCGGGGTGGTCCTTCTTCATTATTTCATAAAACCTTGCTTGAACACAATATTTGAAACATAGCTCGTCGTCATTCTTAATATTAATACAAGCCTTTTTATTTGCTATCCACTTGGGTAGCTCAATATATTTACCTGCTCTGGTCGGGTTGTATCTGTCGTAATGTATGGTGATCTTCTCAATCTTTTTTATTTGGTAACCCGACTTTTTGAGTTGTGAGTTCTCAATCTTTATTTCTATGTCGGATGCCATATTGTCTATTGTTGTTTTTAGTTCTTCGTGGTTGTTGATCGTATAAATTCTACTAGGTATTCTGTGTATTTGCGGTTCTTCGTGTTCTGGGTGTCTAAAAGAAATATCTACATCTACTCTGATTTTCATATTGTTGTTTCGCGTTAAAAACTCTTTCAATCTCGGTTCTTGGTATTTTAAATAGGATAATCCCTTATATCCTTGTAGGTTAATATTGGTAATTGAGTATGAGTTGGCATATCGTTTAAATGCGCTTCGTTCTTCTGCAATGTTGGCTTTCTGAGTGATGGCGTATTTCTTTAAAGCCTTCCTAACTGCTATGCCTTTGGTAGCACGTTTTAATATGTTGTATCTTTTAAAATCCTGTGTTTTGGCTATTTGCTCTAGTTTGGTTTTTAGTTTGGTGGCTATGGGCTTCTCCCTATTATAATAATATTCTCTGTCATTTATTATAACCTTCTTGTATGTTTTATTCCCTTGCGTTTTAATGTTGCCCGTGCCACTGCTTAATACATATTCTAACACATTTCGTAATTCCCCTTGCTCCATATAAATATAAGTCGTTTTTTCTTTAAGTAGGTTTTATTTAGGGTTTCTCGTTGGCGCCTTGGGTTTGGGGGTTTGGGGTTGTAACATAAAACATTCATTTTATTAAAAAATTAATAAAGTGAATGTTAATAACTAAATGTTTAAAAATATTTGTTGTAAATATGAATAGTCTTTTCTGTTATTTCCTCTATTTCATCGTTTATTTTACTGCCTTTCTCTTCTAAATTCATTATTTGTGTTCTTATTCTGCGTTTGTCTCCTGAACCTTTAGTTATACGTCTTTCCTCCTTTAGTTTGTCTATTTTATCACCTATGTCATACATTTCAAAATATAACTCACATCTTTTACATGCATTCATTTTACAAATGTTCAAACAAATAGGCTCTGGTAAAAACTTCATTAACCGACCAAAGTTTTTCGCCTTAAAACGGCATATATAACAGTTTTCAATTTCTTCCTTATATTCATTGTCAGACCCTGTATCACTATTCGCCATTCTCGCCCAATATATAAGTCGTGTTTTCTTTAAGTAGTTTTTGAAATATTTAAAGATATGACAACTTATGATAATTAGGGAGATGAGTAAGTATGAAAACGCTAAAATTTACAAAATCGTAGATGCTGGGTATAACAAATGTTATATAGGTTCTACCTGTGAAGACTTGAGTCAAAGAATGGCAAGGCATAGGCATAACTATAGTTCATATCAGCGAAATAAATCCAAGTTTCTAACATCGTTACAACTGTTTGAGGAATACGGTTTAGACAACTGTAAGATTGAACTGATTGAAAACTTCCCTTGTCAAAGCATTGAAGAACTTCGGTGTAGAGAAGGCTATTACATCAAAGAGTTTGATTGTGTGAATAAGATCATTGCGGGTAGGAATGATAAAGAGTATAGGCAAGATCACCGAGACCATATTTTGAAACTCAAGAGAGAAGACTATGAGCGACATAAAGAGGATAGGAGTCACAAAGCAAAGGAATATTATCAACAAAACAAAGACTATATACAAGAAAGACTTGAATGTCCTGTTTGTAAATGTTTAGTTAGGCGGTGCTGGGTGAAACAACACAACCAATCAAGAGACCACAAAAGAAGGGAAGCAAAACAAAGTAGAAAATAGTTTCGTAACGGGGGATAACTTCTCACAACCCGACGGGGAACATCACGCGCCATAGTGGGGAACATCACGCGCCTTATTGGGGAACATCACGCGCCCTAGTGGGGAACATCACGCGCCCCTACTGGGAACATTGAACCCTTAAATCCCTTATTTCTATGGGGGAAACGATGTTCCCCGAGGTTGTCTTTAGAAGGGGCGTTAGGGAAACATCGCGTGAAAACTTGGGTGGGAAACGCAGAGCAGTAGGAAACATCATAAGAAACTAACAGTAAGAAACGGAAACATCCCGCAACCCGTGGGGAAACATCCCGCAACCCGTGGGGAAACATCCCGCAACCCGTAGGGAAACATCCCGCAACCCGTGGGGAAACATCGCACCCGTAAATCCCGTATTTCTATGGGGGAAAGGATGTTTCCCGTGAGTGTTTTTCGCGTGAGCTGATGGGAAACATCCTGAGGGAAAGTGGGTCGGGAAACGCCAACCCCAAGGAAACATCATAGGGAAACTAACAGTAAGAAACGGAAGCAATACACAACAAACAACCATAATATTATTAACAAATATAATATTATCGTTGAACCACCCACTAAGCCCTAGAAAGTCACAAAATTTAACCCAATGGCTAACCCGAAGCTCTACAATCATGGCTTTAGTTGTTATAGCTCTTGAGTAGCGATGATTTAAAATGTTGAAAAAATGCTACTTCAAGTAAATATTTTGCTAAAAAATGTGTAGGGAGTGAAAAATAAAACGCTTAAGGTGCCGAAGTCATTTTTTAACAAAATTTTGGAAATTTGATCTTGACCCTTGGATTTGACCCCAGTAGCGGGAAAAGTTAGACAATTGGCTAACCAAAGTTCTAGGATCGTGACTTTAATATGGGCGAATTCTACGAACCGCCCAAATAAAGCTCGATTAAACTTTGATCCAAGCCGTGGAAAAACGAAGCTAGGTGACAAGTCAAAAAGTGATGAAATAGTAAGTGGAAGAAAAATAAAAACGAGAGAGAAGCGACAACATACTTTTTATTTATTGCCGGAGCTGGGGAGTGAGTGAAAACGAATAAGGTAACAAGATTGAAAATTTGAGATGAAAAAACGAATGAGACAACGCTAAGGGGAAAAACGAAGCAGAGACCCAAATAATGAATTCAGAGGGTTGAGAGGGAAAATAAGAAACGAATAAGGCGACGAGGGCAGAGAACAAGTGGGAGACAGTGACGAAAAACAACAAACGAAGCAGACACGACAACACACAACAGCCCAGACCCCAGGGCCCCTATTTCTACAATTTTTTGGGGAGGGGGGGCGGCGGAGGCCCGTCTGTCGGCCTGCCAGAAGAAGCGGAATTCGAATAGGAAGAGGGAGGGACGGATGATCCCCAACATACCTTTAATTTCTCTTCATAATCCCCAGTGTGCCCTTAAGAAAGATGCTTTACCCCTCAAAAAAAGATGCTGTGTCCCTGAATGCGTAGCTGGGGTATGAAAACACTTCTTCATTTCAACAAGCACCTCTTTCTTTCGAGAACCCTATACCTTCTAATCCACCCTCCCAGCCCCCCAAACCCCAAACCCTAAACCCTAAACCTTAAACCCTAAACCCTCAACCCACCCGAAACCCTCTACACCCCCGCCCACCCCATGCCCACCGAGGCGCAGAGTCCTCCGGAAGCTGGCCCTGCCGGACTACGAGACCCAGGAGACGGTGTTGTTTAGGGTTTAGGGTTTGGGGTTTAGGGTTTGGGGTTTGGGGTTTAGGGTTTGGGCGTGGGGGCCGGTGAGGGCACGAGGTGTGTGGAGGGTCTAATCCATGGTTTAGGCTGGGGGAGGGAACCCCAAACCCCAAACCCTAAACACTAAACCGGGTTGGTGTTTGAGTTTTGGGTGCTTTCAAGTTTGAGGTTCGGTTGTGTCCGCCTTGTGTTGGGGGTTCGGGCGTGGGGGTTTTAACTACGAGTAGGAATCGCATCATGCACAGCCGTGTTAAGCATTACAAAGCCAAGCAGGCCCTAAACTGTGCCTAGACGAACCTGCCTCATCTGCTCGCCCTTAAACCCTAAACCCTAAACCCTAAACCCTAAACCCTAAACCCTAAACCCCAATCTCCCTCGCCCGCAGAGAACCTTCAGCTGCTACACGTGTGCAGCCGATTATGACTTTTTCGGGCTCCAGATTCCTGGGGCTTATAACACCCTTGAGAACCCCAAGCTTCAAGAATTTCTTGTAGCCTACCCAAGAATCCTTTATCGGGGGTGTTCAGAATTCGAACCTGCAAAAATGCAGATGTTTTGCTTAACTCTTAAGGTAAGCTACCTGCGTCTGTTCTGCCAGGATCTTGGGGATACCTCGACTCTGGCAGATCCATCCGTCGTGGACGTGCTGAAGTCATACCATCCCAGAAAGAAGGGCCCGGAGGGGTATGCCGGCAAGTAGGTCGACACACCGGCTTGTCAATGTCTCACCTGCACCCCTCTTGTGGATCTCTGCCGATCCTACTATTTGCTTAAGAACCCCAAAAGAATTCAACAGAATCATCCCTATATTACCTTACAAGGAAGAATGTGAGAGATATATATATATATATATATTTATTTATATTTATTTTGGGGGGTTCTTAAGCAATTAGTAGCATCCTGTTTGAGAATTGTTTTGCAGACCCTCGTTAGACTCCCAGAGCCAGGCACAGATGAAAGGACTCCCAACAGTGAGGCTCTGCATTTTGACTTGTCTCCATCTTGCAATTGGCCCCCGAACCCTAAACCCTAAACCCCCTCTCAAAGTCTAAACGCACGACGCGGACGCGAACTCCAGGGTACACCCACCGGGCTACACCGCACCTGAAGAAGAAACCCCTTCTTAAAGCCCTGAACAAAGCCTCCGATGAACACTGGGGCCTTAATGATTAGAAAAGGGTCTTGGGGGGATCTTATAGCATAATTATATATAAAGCCCCCGATGACAACCCCAAGTCCTGGCATAGCGGCATAGCGGGTGGCCGAGGTACATAGATGGGCCCACGGTGGCTGCGTGGAGCCCAGCCTTGCGAAGCCGCGCAAGTACGCCTAAGCCCTATATGAACCCTAAACCCGAAGCCCTAAGTCAGCCCTAAACCCCAAGCCTGAGCCCTTAGTCCTTAGCCCTTAGCCCTAAACCCTAGCTTGCATCCTAAACACTTACCCTAAGTACAGTGACAGCGCTGGAGAAGCGACAAGTCGAATTAGGTGAGGGTACCCTGGGTTTTTTAAAATTGAGGCACCAGTTTTTTCAGATATTTCCCTCACACCCTAATTTCTATTTCTTTTTTCTTAATCCCTCTATTGCAGGGCTCGAAGCAAGCTACGACTAAATTCAGACTCTCTGGGAACGGAACTTCTCAATCAGGCCTAGTCATGGCAGGCTTCCCAAGAGGTCGCACCGCCCGCGCGGTGGAGAAGCCGAAAATGCGCCGCGCAACGCAGCCCAAGGCAGTGCTTCGGCGCAGAGAGTGGCATCTGTCCCGGTTCATGCGGACAGGGTCCTCGGCCTGGCGTCCTCTTCCATTCGCGAGGACGCCGTCTTGAAGCTGATGTGCGGAATCTGAGTGCTCACGCATCCGATGACTGGGATGAACACCTTTGGATTCCGGTGGTGTCCTGGCATGCCCCTCAGGCCTCAAGCAACCTAAACCCTGAACCCTGAAAGCCAACTCTCAAGATGGACTCAGAGCCCTGAACCCTGAACGCCCTGAACCTAAACCCTAAACCCTAAACCCTAAACCCTAAACCCTAAACCCCCGAGAGATGGACTCAGGGTTCCAAAACTTTTCATACCATTCAGAGTAAGCCCCTGCTGTATCCATGCCTGGATTCAGGTTTCTCCTCCAATTAGAGTCGCTTTGGGGTTTAGGGTTTAGGGTTTCGGGTTTAGGGTTTAGGGTTTAGGGTTTAGGGTTCAGGGTTTAGGGTGTTCGTTCTTGGGGGGAGACATCGGGCTCGGTTAGGGGTTTCGGGTTAAGATTTAGGGTTTTACATGGTCAGTTCTCTAAATTTTGGTCCCTTTTGGGGCACCCTAACAAATAGGGGCCGCCTTAAAGAAATCATTGATATGTGTATATATATATATATGTGTGTGTATATATTTATTTATTTGTATGATTTATGGGGCTATAGGATCTGGGGTTTAGGGCTTAAGGAGTTTTTTTTCACAAGCTCTGGTCTAACCCCCCCATTCAACTCAACTCAACTTAAATCGAGGCCCTATCCCCGAAGCCCCCTCTAACCCCCCGAGCTGTAAAACCCTTAGCCCTATATATAAGCCCTAAACCCGAAACCCTAAACCCTCAACCCTAACCTGAAACCCGAAACCCTAAACCCTAACCCTAAATTCGAAACCCTAAGCCCGAAACCCCTACAAGCCCTCAACCCTATCAGCCCTAAACCCCGAAGCCTTCAAGCTTCAAGCTACGAGACACACCCGCGGCCGAGGTTCGAGCCGTGGCCCAAGCTCTGAGGCCGAGCCACGTCTCCCACCCTCAAAAAAAGTAGGCATATATATATATATACATATATATATATGTATACATATTGCGTATTTCATATACTACATCTTTCATACTGTATGACAGACTTGTATTCTGCATTGCACGTTATAGGGTCCGGTTTGGAGTATAGGGTTTTGGGTTATGAGGCCTATTTCGTTGGTTGTAGGGGTTAGGCCTATTCAGTTTCAAACGATGTAGTCGGGGTTTACCGTTTTAATTCGGGTTTGGGGGGCCGAATTTGAGTCTGGGTTTTGGGGTGTAGGGTTCAGTATAGGGGGCCTACTGAGTTTAGGATGCACGGAATTGGTGTCCCTAACATGCCCGAAAAGGCCCCCCAAAACCCTACGACAATGGGGACCAGGAGAATCTGCAACAGCTGCTGAAGCCCCCAAACCCCTGAACCCTATCCCGTAAACCCCAAAACCTTCATTGAAGCCTCAAGCTCAAGCCCAATCCCGTAAACCCGAACCCATAAACCCTAAAGGCAAGGACTAAGCCCTAAAAACCCTACTCCAATCAACCTACGCCCTACTTAAACTCTGAACCCTAGTTAAATCCGAATTAAACCATAACACCCTAACTGCCCTAAACCCTAATTTCCCTAAACCCTAATTCCCCTAAACCTAAACCCTAAGCGCTCAACCCCAACCCACCAAGTCGGGGCCTCAAGCAGGCGCACGGTTGGAGTGAAGTCGCTGTCGGCGCGAGGCGCTAAAGCTCTTCCTAAGACAGCGGCAAGTTAGGGTTTAGGGTTTAGGGTTTAGGGTTTAGGGGTCAGGGTTCAGGGTTTAGGCTTTAGGGCTTAGGGTTTGGGGAGTTGAGTTTTCAGCACCAGGGCACTATGTTATTTGCCATACTAGGACCCAGAGTAGGGCCTTATTGTCTTTTCTGAGGGTGTCGGTTCCCTTATAAGCCCCTTCAAACAAAAACAGGGTATACCCTTTTTCTACATACAGGTAGGTTACTCTTTGCTCTGTCATATATGGGGTTGATACAGGGTGGGGTTCAGGGGTGTGTGGCGATCTCCAATCTACGGAGTACGACGTGCGCCCCGAGCGACGGAGCGCGTGTCTGCACCGAGTCGGCCCTGTCTCGCGATATTGCTCTGACTGCCTGGTGTGTTATTTAGGGTTTAGGGTTAGGGTGTGTGTATACATATATATATATGTATTATATATATATATACGCAAAGGAATATTATAGTTTTCGCTTTTGAGCGAAGCCAAGCCCACCGATAGCCACATCCTCCACAACCCCTCCCTACGCATCGGAGCTTCCTAAAAGCACTCAAACCCCCAAAACCCCAAACCTGTTTCTTCCTCACTCCTCAACCACGAGCCCTAAACGCACCTCAACCGACACCCTGAGCCCTAAATGCCGGCCTACACCCCATGCCAGGGCCGGCGCGCTCGAGTCCCCGCGCGGGGTCGCCAGCCCAGCTGCATGCGAACAGGGGCGGCTTGTCCGTCGCGGATGGCGGCGCAACACTTCTTACAAAAAACCTTAAAGCAGCTAAAAGTCCGAAAATGGATGCAATGATACTGGCCTAGAAAAATATAAGTTTTGGGCTGTATTAAGGTATAGGGGTAGTCACGCCGCCTCTCCCCTCTCGGAAGCCTCAGCCCTCCTCAACCAACCCAGGCAGCCTAGAAGCACGATTCGATCCACAGTGCGTGCCTCACGTGCCTCCCGTCAGGCTTTCAAGCTAGGCTGCCCAGTAGTACCCTTATTCCCTTTTTGGGGGGTTTAGGTTCCCTTATAAACCCCTTCAAGCAGAAAAGGGGCACCCTTTTTAAGCCTAGGTTACTGGGCAGCCTAGCAAGGCTCCAGGAGGGTCCAGGCTTTTGTATCGCATTTTCGGGCTTGGGGCTGCTGAGGGTTTAAAATTGAGGGTTTAGGGTTTAGGGTTTAGGGTGTAGGTTCCGGGTTTTACCTGGCGCTGGGTTTCCGACGCTTCTTTGCATTTCAGGCACCTTTGTCTAGGGGTGCCATACCAGAGGAAGGACGTGTTGGAAACCCCTCGAAAAAGGGGCAGGATATAAGCCCCTACGTAGGAGGAATAGACGATCTTCGGAGCAGGTTCGCGTCTTGCCGGGGGAGGCCCTGAACCCCCATACACCTTTAACCCCTGAAGCCGAACAAAACCTCCAGAGCCATAACACCCTCGGCCCTAAAAAGCCGGAAGCCCCGAACAAGACTCCTGCTTTGCTCGAAGACCGCTACTGTTCAGGATTCATCTGTGTTGAGACCTATGGGAGCCTTACGGCCGAAACCCTAAACCCAGCCCAAACCCTAAAGGCCACAGAACATCGCTCGAAGCCCCAAACATCCCCATCAGCCGGTCCTAGCTACCCAGCAAGCAACCCCCCTCCCCCCACCAAAAAACAGCTTGGGATGACCTTCAAAGCCCCAAAAAACCAGAACCTCGAACCTAGCCCTAAACCCCAAACTAGCCCTTCAACAAAAGCCTTTGCCCTTAAAGCTCATCGTAAGCCGTACATGGGCCCCAAAACCACGACTCGAGAAGCCCGAGCCTGGAATTGTTGGGCCGCCGGCGACCTTCATGGGCGCCGCACTCTCGCGTGGCAGGAAACGTCGAGAGCTGCAGGCCAGGATTTGGGTGTGTAGGGTTTGGGGTTTAGGGTGTAGGGTTTAGGGTTTGGGGTTTAGGGATGGGGGTTAGTGTTTAGGGCCTTGAGGGTTTAGGGTTTACAAGCCTGCTAAGGGTGTCTGGGTGCTCTGTATTCCGGGGGAGGGCGGAGTGTTTTGGGGGATTTCATTCCTGGGGGGTTGCAGGTGCTTCGATGTTTCTGGTTTCAGGGGTGTAGGTTGGGATGTTCCCCCCTTATTCTAACAGCCCTTAACAGGAAGGTACTATAATCCCCATTATGGACTGTTAGTACAAGGGGAACATCCCAAGGCGTGCGCAGGTTTCGGGTGATTAAGTGCGGACTCAGGGTTGAGGAAGAAAGCCTACACCCTAAACCTTAAACCCTAAACCCTAAACCCTAAACCCTACACCCTACACCCTAAACCCTAAACCTTAAACCCTAAACTCTAAACCTTAAACCCTAAACCCCTAAACCCTAAGGGTTCAAGTTCCAAGCTAGACCTCATGCACACACCGCAAAGCCCTACAAACGCACATCCTAAGGCCCACAAAGCCAAAACACAATTAAAAAAGGGGTCCCCACATTTCATGCTGCAAACACGAAAACTACTATTTGCTTAAGAGCCCTCAAAAAAGATAATCTTCCCTATTTTACCCTTATAAGGAAGGAATGTTTGTCATTTATTTGTTTGTTTTTTCTTTGGGGGGGGGTTCTTAAGCAACTAGTAGAAAAGGCTCGCCCTTGGAACAGTTGAGCTATTGATCCCGCGTCACCGGATCGCCACGTCCCCTCACCCCAACGCCCAAAGTTAGAATCCATCTACCTGGGTGTAGAGGTCACAGGGTTTAGGGTTAAGGGTTTTGGGGTGTGAACTAGCTGGAGCAAACGTTTTGCTGTGGATCCTTAGTTCCTGAAGAATTTCAATCAGGACCTTATAAGCCCGAGCCCTTGAAACGCCGTAGTTGGAAGCCCGTAAAAAACTGGAGGCAAAGCGGGTCCCAGGCAAGCCTTAAGCTTGTAGCACTCCTGTTCCTTCATCCAACTGCTTAGAGTCCCTTTCCCTTACCTTGAAATACTTCTATCTATAAATGTGCAGGGTGTAGAGGGTGCAGGGCTTAAGCTATAAGCCTTGCGGTATAGGGCTTTGGGCTGACTTAGGTAGGGGTCCTAAACCCTCAAGCCCTAAACCCCAAACCCTAAACCCTCAAACCCTAAACCCTAAACCCCAAACCCCAAACCCTGAACCCTGAACCCTAAACCCCAAACCCCGACCAGTTTCAACTGCAAAGCGCTGAAGCCGCGGAACGCGAGCGCTGGCGGCGCGAGCAGCGCCCAGAATGGCAAAGTCTGGGCTCAGGGTTTTATGGCTGTGGGTTTGGGTCTACAAGGAGGGGCCCCCTAGCTATAAGTAGAGCTATAAGGACCCTAAATTAAATTGGGTTACAAGGATCCTAAATTAGGTTATAGTCCCTCAACTACAGTTAGTAGAGTAAGGGTAAGGGTTATGGCGGTTGCAGGCTGTGTTGTAGTGCGCTTTTGGGGTTGGGGGCAGGGGGGCACAGTCTGAACCAGTCCTTAATTCAGAAAGGCCCTCTAAGCCTAAAATCGTACATCTTAGAGTTCTCCCGAAACCACCGCCAAAACCCTGAAGCCTTAGGAACTGTCTTCAAACTGCGAGACGATTGCACTCCTTCCACTCCAGAACCGTAACTTAACCCTAAGCCCGACAGTGAAATCCTAAAACCCTGAACCCTAAACCCTGAACCCCAAAACACTAAACCCTAAGACCCTAAACCCTAAAACCGTTTACTGCCTAGCAGGGTATAGCAATTCGAAGTCCCTCTCCTTCCCCCTGCCGCCCGCAACAACAAAGTAGGGCGCAGGCGGGTTTAGGGTTTAGGGTTTAGGGATAGGCGCTTAGGGTTTAGGGGTTGAGGGGGTTACGGGTTTAGGGTTGAGGGTTTTCGGGACCCTAAACCCTAAACCCTAAACCCTAAGCCCGAAGCCCTAAACCCTAAACCCTAAACCCTAAACCGCAACAACAACTTCGGGGAGGCGGCTCCTGGCTGATCTCGACGCTCGGACGAGGCCTGCTTTGGAGTTCGGGTGGGCGTCTACCCCCGCACGCCAGGACTACTATTGGTTTAGGGGTTTAGGGTTTAGGGTTTAGGGTTTAGGGTTTAGGGAAAATATTCTTCCTGATTAAGGGTAATGTAAGCATTATGTTTTTTTCCTTTGGGGGTTCTTACGCAAAAAGGAGAGGAGGAACCGAGGCATGCTTCTGGATGGCATGCTAAACAGCCTAAGGGGGTGTTTGTGTGCTCTAACCTACAGAACCCCAAACCTCCTTTCGTAAGGCGAATCCACCAAAGAAGTGGGTTGGGATCTTAGGCTTATCCCCTCCCACTAATATTATATAATCCCCCCTCCCCCCCTCCCTTCTACCCCCTACTAATAAATACCCCCAGTATAGCTATATTCTAGTATAAGGGGTAGGGCCCAAATCGCCCGGTAGTGAGGGAATATTGATGGCCCCAGTGCCCACATGGAATCGCCCCGAGGGGAACGAGGGCACGTCCAAGCGCCGCGGGACAATCAGATGTTCTGCCAGATGAGCCAATGCATCATGGAAGTTGATTCTGTTCTTGAGGAACTGGTCCCTATCGTAGGTCCACAGCTCATTGAGGAGGGAGCCGTATCTTTGAAAGCTCTGCGCAAGGCCCTTGAAAACTGCCTGGGTGGTATCAGCCTTCTTGGCATGAGGGCCCGGATCCGTGAGATTACCGAGCGAATGTTGGTACATAGCGATGGCCTTGATGGGAATACGCTGTGTGCTGGGTTTTGGGAGCCGCTTCCCCGCCAGATCTTCGTCAGAACACTTCAGACTGTGCCGGTTTTGTGTGCGCCGAGCTGGGAGCCGCTTCCCAGTGGATTGCCTGTTGCAGATCGTGGCCGATGCTTCTTTTCGGACCTGAGCGACCTACTGGAAGATGGTCAGTGGCATGATAGCTCTATTGGGAACACATGCTGCTTACAACCCGGCGGTGTTTGCTGGGAACTGTATTGCCTCGAGCGTGATCTCCAATTCGATGGAAACATGCTTTCGGACAAGCTGATCGGTGGTGGACATAATGGCACTGGTGAAGTGTATGACCTCACCGCCTTCCTGCAGCACCATCCTGAGCAGCGCAACTCCGGGAACACCGCGATGCACCAGGTGGTTGGCGAGGAGACCTCGGGGATTGGACGGTGCCTCAGGCGCAAAGCCGCGGACTTCGCGACTGCTGGTTTGACTTGGCACCTCTACTTCTGCAAGGCCTTCCAGAATCACAAGCCGCTTCTGCAGTTCGACTACTGCCGGGCTTTGAGGCATTTGCACCAAAGCATTGTTGGCAAACATCCGGAGACTGGCCATACGTTGTTGGACTTCAGCATCCATCACGAGTCTGCGCTGTGCTTGGCATCGAAATGGAGAGTTCGCATGCAGGTATGGGACCCTGGTGGAGTTTGTGAAGGCACTTCAAGGCCATCACCTTAGATGTTGAGACCTCCGCGCCTGACTACGTGAGGGCTGCGATGCAGGACTGGCGAGCATCCCACCCAATCGCAACAGCTCTCTCTTCGTCGCTTGCTCCTCCTTTGAGAGCCATGAGTGAACTCAACAGTGGCATGATTTTGGTTTTTCGGGTTAGGGGTTCAGTTTGGAGACGGTTTTTTCGCACAGACGGCCGGCTACATCTCCTGCTGCCCTTCCCGAGCTTGCACAGGCAGCTGACTTTTCAAGGGGCGTTGGCTTTCGTGGTAGTTCATGGAGCTTGCAGTCCCCTGCTTTGCCTGCCCTTTCCCTTCATTGCCGGAAGGTCCCAGTTTGCCTTTCCTTGCAAAAGTCTGGGTGCATGTGTGGTTGGCTTCGCTACGGCTTTTCCGCCTTCGGCGGCCGGTTTGACGCGTCGCCTCCTCCACACCCGTAGTTGCACAAGTTACTCTCACTGTTATTAGATTTCTGCTCCACGCTTGGAGACCATGCTGTGAGTGCATACTAGTCAGTGGTTGAGTTCAGCGTGAATTCATTGCATGATTTTTGGGCAACGTCCCTTAGCAGGACCTGACATGCCGAACAGAACAGAACAGAACAGAACAGTATAAGGGGTGGCTATTTAATAGTATGGGGTGGGGGGGGGGTTATAATATTGGGGGGAGGGGATTAAGCCCTAAAATAGTGGATTGGGATCTTCCCTAAACCCTAACGCCCAAACCCTAAACCCTAAACCCTACGCTCTGTAGACCACAGACGAAAACCTTGCAGCTCCCTGACGAGGTGCCCGCACCTGCTCGTGCAAATCCGTAGCTTGGGGCTGGTGGAGATCTGCGGCAAGAATCACGGAGGCTGAGGGTTCAGAGGTTAAAGTGCAGGGTTTAGGGTTTAGGGTTTAGTGTTTAGGGTTTAGGGTTTAGGGTTTAGGGTTTGAGGTAGTTGGTTTTGGGCAGGGTCTGAGCCAAGCTGGTTAGGCCCTCGACCCGAAGGGTCCATGTACCTAAAACGGCACTACCTGGGCCTTAAGTTACTTCCTATATGGGGACTGTGGGGCTGCCCAAGTTGATCATAAGGTATATGGACCCGTAGAGCTAGACCCAGAATCAGAGGGTCTTCCAGAATCCTAGACTCCTATAGCTCCCCCAAAGAATCTACCCCTCAAAGAATCGAGTTGGCGGTTGAGACCCCCAACCCCTCATCCCATAGCACTTGTACCCTCAACGCGTCGGGTTTGGGAGTGGCGTTGGCGTCTGTGAGTTTTTTGCGGTTGGGGTGTAGAGAGTTGGGAGTAAACACGCGCTGGAGGCAGCACTCCTTAATACTTTCAACTCCTGAAAGCCGTACCTGAAGCCTGCCCCCTCAAGCCCTCGGTTTGTTCAAGTCGGGTATTCGTGTGATACGCCGGCCTGAAAAAAACTGACGGTCACAACCCTCGACCCCCTAAGACCCTAAACCCTAAACCTTTAAGCCCTAAGCCCTAAACCCGAAACCCTAAACCCTAAACTTGCTTAAGGGTCATTGGGGACCTCTCTCTACAGGCATCTTCGAGCGGCTTGGGGACTGGCTCCAGCGCACGTGGGGTGCCTCGCTCTCTTTGTGAGGAGCTTTAGGAGGTCCCTAAACCCTAACCCTAAACCCTAAACCCCAAACCCCAAACCCCTGACCCCTGACCCCTGATCCTTAAACCTTCTGGGTCTAGGGCTTCAGAGGATTTCAGAGGGTGGAGGTTTAGGGGTTGCGGGACTCCATAGGGCCTTGAGGGTTCTAGGTCAAGGCCCTATGCACTGAGGGGCGGTCATTGGGAGTTAAGCATATATGGTCTTCATGATAAGGTGCTGTTTGGTTTGGGGCAGGGCTTAGGGAAACCGCTACAAGACGCCCCCCCTTCTCCCCCCCCCCCCCCAAGAAAAACAAATAGAACAACAAAAACCAGATAAAGAAAAACGCAGAGAAATGAACACTACCTCCTGCAAGCAAAAAACAGGCAGCCCTAAACATCCCTCTAACACTTAGCAACCACTTCCAAACTCCTACTCCTGCACCACAAGAACGCCCAAACCCTAAACCCTAAACCCTAAACCCTACTAACCTTATAAGGGGCCCCCCTCCCCCGCCACCAAGACCCTGACATCCTGCACAAGAAAACCCTAGTAGACCTCCCAATGCCTTAGGGTTTAGGGTTTAGGGTTTAGGGTTTAGGGTTTAGGGTTTAGGGTTTAGGGGCTACAAACCCTTAAGGCTCGAAGAATCAAGCAACAAAGGCCTCGTGGCCCACGCCACGGACATTCGGCCGGACATCTACGTGCCGCCTGGGCCTTGGGCAAGGGTTTGTGTACCACTGTTTGCTTAAGAACCGCCCCCCCCCCCCCCAACAATAACAGATATTCATCCTTATAAGGGTAGTACAAGGACTATTTCATGATATTTTTTCGGGTTCTTAAGCAAATACAGTAGTAGTTTAGGGCTTCTGCGGAGTCATTCAGTTTTGGAGTTCAGGTTTAGGGTTCGGGTTCAGGGTTTTGGTATGGGGCCTCTGACTGTTCAAGTTTTTCGGGGAGGCTACCATGAAGCATGCAACTGAAATGGCTGCAGGGTTTAGGGTTTAGGGTTTAGGTCGCTTGTGGGTTGCGTCTGCTGAAACATGGAGCCAGGGCCGCCGTTGTAGATAACTGCACGGGTGCTTCAGACCCACGTGAGCGACTTCAGTCGGAACATGTGGGGGGGGGGGGGGGGGGTACCCTAAATATGAGGGGCCGCCTGAGAACAAGGACCCCACAAGGGACCACAGTGACCATGTTCCCAGCCCCAAGCCCAAACCCCCAAACCCCCAAACCCCCAAACCCCCAAACCCCCAAACCCCCTACCCCCAAACCCCCAAACCCCAAACCCCGAAACCCTAAACCCCGAAACCCTAAACCCCGAAACCCTAAACCCCCTAACCCCCCCCCCCCCCCCCCCCCCCCCCGACCCCCCAAAAAGCAGCCACTGAGGTGCAATCCCCTGCAGTCGCCCCAACTTCGCCTATCCGTGCGGCCGATCGACGAGTGGGGCCGCCTTTGTGACAGGAGACCGATGGGGGGGAGCTGTAAAGAGCACGACGATCTGAGACCCAGAGTAGGCCCTTATTCCCTTTTTTTGCGGGTTGGGTTCCCTTATAAGCCCCTTTAACCAAAAAGAGCACCCTTTCTATTCCTAGGTTACTCCTGGGTCTAGTGATATCTGACCACAGTTCTGATTCCTTAATATGGCTGTTGTTAGCATTTTTCCCGCAACCATCTGTCAACACAAAGGGTTGCCAACGTGCACTGTAGGAGGGGTAGGAAGATGTTAGCTGCCCCCTAAACCCTAACACCCTAACACCCTAACACCCTAACACCCTAAACCCTAAACCCTAAACCCTAAACCCTAACAGAGAGAGTTCGCGCGCCTGCGGACCATGGTTTTCCTCGAGGCTTGCTCGCATGTTGGATGAACATCGCGCTCTCGCCTAGGCGAGGGCCTGGCCGTGCGCCGTCCTCGAAACTGTCATGGCTTTTGGACTTCTGGGCGAACATGATCTCTTACTGTTTGGAGTTTTTCCGTAAACCCTCAACCTTAAACCCTAAACCCTAAACCCTAAACCCTAAGCCCTAAACCCTAAGGCATAAATAGCATCATCCTTCGGATTTCTATTTTTGGCTACTCTGTTTTCGGAGCTTTAGGGTCCCGGATGTTGGCATGTTCTCAAGCCCTCTAAGCCGGAACCCAACGTGCCCGAAGCTGCTTCCGCGTCTCTGGCCTTAAACCCTAAACCGTAAACCCTGAACCCTGAACCCTGAACCCTAAACCCTAAACCCTAAACCCTAAACCCCAAATCCTAAACCCTAAACCCTAAACCCTTCCCGGAAAACCCTTATATGCTTTTCCATGCGGGAGCTGTCTTGTGTATTCACAGGGCCAACCTATCTGTCACCGCAGAGTCCTACAAAATGAGGAGCTAACTAAGCAGGGCTTAGGGTTGAGGGTTTACCTGGGACTGCCCCCATAACCTTCAGCTTTATGTTTTATGGGTTGTGCCTACTAAGTAAGGGGTAGTTGCTACTACACTGGACCTGGAGGTAAGTAGATCCCCAGGTAGGTGCTAATCCTAGGTGACTCTTGGGTCTAGCTAAGTCCTGAGTCCTCTAGAACGCCCCAGACCCCGGATCGAAATCAGCCCTGAACCTTAGAGAACCCGTTAACCGAACCAAGCTCTGCAGAATCTACTTCAACCCTAAACCGTTGAATCTGATTGCACCAGAAGTGCTAGAACCTAATCAAGCACGAATCCCTGTAGAACTTACTTAAGCCCTAAACCTTTTAGTCCCGAACTGGAACCCTGAACCCTATAAAGCCCAGCAACGGTCTAGGGGTCAGGGTGTATAACCCCCAAACTCGATTCCCTCAGAGAGCTTGTGGCAGGAGCTTCGCCGCGGGCCCCCAGCAGGCCCAAGTGCTTGTGTTTATACGCAAGATTCTGCGCAAGCACATGCCGCCACGAGCCAATTCAGGACCTACGCACTTGTCACCTTTTCGTATGCTTGCTTTCTTGCGTTGTACATATTATTACCATTCATTTTGTTTTTTGTGATGTACTGTGTTGTGTTATTTGTTGTACTGCGTTTTTGCTTGTTTTTGTTTATGTTTGTTTTCTTGGTGTTTTGCCATTGGCATCTTTTACTTTTCACTGAGTTTCCACTACTAGCTGCCCGTTCTTCTACACCGTTGTGTTGTAGCACAGCGATTTGCTGTTCCATCGCATGTGTCGTTGACTCTTATTTGCGTGAAATATTCGCCTAAATACGACTACTAGTCCTACTAGCTGCTATGTTTATCTGTTTGGAAGTTATGACTATCGCGGTGAACCCTAAAGAATCCCAAAAAAACCCTAAGACCGCCCAAAAAAAACCCAAAAACCCCATAAACCCTAAAGAATCCAAAAAATCCCTAAGAAGCCCTAAAGAGCCAGGCCAATGGTCAAGTACTAGGCGCGGGCCGATTTCTGAAGATGCGGGGCAGCGATGGCGAGAGCAACATGGGCACCTTGGCGTCCCCCAAACCCTAAACCCTAAACCCTAAACCCTAAACCCTAAACCCTAAACCCTAAACCCTAAACCCTAAACCCTAAACCCTAAACCCTAAACCCTAAACCTTGACCCCTAAACCCTAAACCCTAAACCTTGACCCCTAAACCCTAAACCCTAAACCCTGACCCCTAAACCTTAAACCCTGAGAATACTGAGCATTTTTGGGGATTTAGGGCTTCAGGGTGTAGGGTTTTGGGATTTTTGGTGCTTCAGGGTTTCAGGGCGCTTGGGGGGCTCAGCGATTTCGAGCTTTCGGGCTTTGGGGGCGTTAGGGTGTGTGGGGCCTCCCCAAACCCTAAACCCTAAACCCGAAGCCTAGGCTGCCCAGTAGTACCCTTATTCCCTTTTTGGGGGGGTTTGGGTTCCCTTATAAACCCCCTTTAAGCAAAAAAGGGGCACCCTTTGTAAGCCTAGGTAAGCCTAGGTTACTGGGCAGCCTCGAAGCTCCAACCAGTGCAAGCCCCAAACCCCTTCCAACCCCTTTCAGCCCTGGCCACGAAATCTGGGAACCATATTTTTCGTACGTTGGGCAAGCCTTTCCATGGGCCCTCTAGAAGGTTGCCCCAAGAACCCGAATAGTTTCTTTATGGTACGAAAAAAGAGAAGGCTTTGGGTTCTCCTAGTTGCTGGGCACCCTGGGCCAAAGAAGGTTAACCGTTCAACTATGGTATGGTTGTAAAAACACCCCAAAACCCTAAACCCTAAAAACTTTGGAGGTGTGAGCTGACGGCAATTCCCCAAACCCCTGCTGTAGGGACCCTCAAACCTCAAGCCGCCAAAACAAACCCTCAACCTAAACCCTTTAAACCCCGGCTGTAGAGGACCCCCAAAGAGCCTGCACACTCCTGAGCCCTATATACACCTTAAACCCAAAAGAATGTAAGGTGTAAAGTTTCAGATTCTGAAGCCTAGGAAACCCTGAGCTCGAAACACTCGAAGCCCTGAGCCCTAACTCAGGCAAGCTCACTATGGCCCTTGTGAGCTTCATGACCAACACCTGCGGCTGGGGTCTGAAATTCATCGACGGCTGCAACTTGGGACGCTTCTGGGACCGATTTGTTACGCTAGGTAGGCCCTTTGGACATGTTTTGTTTACCCTTATTGGCTTTCAGAGGATCATATTTAGGAATATTTTTCAGGGGGGTTTAAGGCCGGGTTTAGCCTCTGACCCTGAACTCTAATCCCTAAACCCCAAACGTGGCAGTTTGCCCTTGTTCACTGTTTTTGGCGTTCGTTCTTTCTTGTAAACCGCATTCCAGGAGGTCATTCTGGGACCTACCGGTAGGAACCTAGGAGTCTAGAAGTCTACCAAGAACCTTTTAACCCCTAAATGATGCTAAAAGCCCAATCACCTATACCCAGGACCAGGCAATTCCCTAGCAGGGCTTAATGGTTACTTGCTGCTCTTGCGCTTGGCATGTCATGCAACGCCTTCGGGGTCTTTGACTAGGGAATAGTCAGGGGTCAGGCGAGAAGGCAATCTCCTTTTTTTGCTGGCACGGCTGACGTGCGGTTGTCCTCCGCGGTCGCCAAGCGCGAAAAAGAGTTGCTGCACCATGCTTCTGGCATAACAGTTACCTGGTGCAACGCGCTGCTTTCTGGCCTCTTGCGCTTTCCAATGCATGTGCGCAAGGAGCAGAGGAAGTCATGCACGAAACAATCGTTAACTTCTTGTGAGCACTCCGAGGTTTCCCTCCTTGTTGAGTGCGAGATAGTAGCCTCTAGGCTTTTCGAAGTAAGTGGCTTGTACAGCTTTCTCTCCTTTTGGCGATCTCACTGGTGCGTACAGTGTCTGGACCTGCGGGTCGTCTCTGTATTTCGATATCTGCTCCCTTGAGGAGCCGTCCTGCTTCGTAGGATGTAGCGCACGCTTAGTTAGCTGACATGGAGCTGGCTGCGTCTCAAAGTCAAAGTCAAAAGACCTTTTAACCCCAACTGTCTTTTCGTTGAAGAGTCCTTCTTTCGTTAGGTTTCTATGTCCAAGGGAGTCTGTAACCTCCTCCCAGCCCAAACAAAAAAGCATTGGGTTTAAGGGTAGGGGTTGCCTAGCTCATGGTCGAATGAAATGCCCCCTCCCCCCTCCATCTTACCATTGTCAGTATTATCCCCTTACAGTCCCTCAGCTAGCCAGAATCTAAGTACACTACCCAAGCTTCCCATAGTTCGATTACGATATGGCCTACCCCAAAGAACCCCGGCTCGAACCGAATGCCCCTGTGTTATCGTGCTTGGAGACATGAAGTTATTCGTCTTGTTCTTCGGAAGGGGATTTTGGAGGTGCCTGTCTACCTAAGAGGATGTCATTACCCCCCCGGCTTGCTGCAAAAAAAGATTCTTGAAGAGTAGGGTCCATACACCTTACCCCTAAACCCAAAAAAGGCCGTAGACTACGAGTCCCTGGCGCCAAAGGGTGTAGGGCTCGAGGGTGTCTTGAGATGAGGAATCTGACTTCGCCTTTAGCTGAACCTTATAAACTTTTTGGCTTTCCTTTTTGTAGGAATATCAACGTTTTACCCGTTTTCCCCCCTTGCTATTGGAGAAGTAAGGAAATGGTCAGATCCGTGAGATGCAGATGAAGTTTACGGCCCCGCACCCGCTGAATCTGGTTGCCCCGCACCTGATGATCGACCTCCGGCAGGCTGGCTACATCGCCCCTTGGGCAGAGTTTAGGGTTTAGGGTTTAGGGTTTGGGTTTTGGGTTTAGGGTTTAGGGTTTTGGGGTTTAGGGTTTCGGGTTTAGGGTTGTGGGACATATTTCTTGTAGTTTTCAGGTGGCCATACATGGGTTATGGGTTTACGAAAATAGGGGACCCCAAGATTTCACCCCAAATAGTAGGGTTCCCTTATAATAGTGACCCCAATAAGGTACCCCCTATTTTCGTAAACCCCATATGTCTCAACTGCTAGAGGGTTCCTTAAGATTCTGGGGTTCAGGTTGGGGCCACATGCATCCTTTAGCCGAGGAAATCTATGGGCCCGACACTCACGGTGTCTATGGCTTCCTTCATCAGTGGCTCGAGTCCCAGCTGCAGAATATCCGTCATTCGTATGAGCTCCTTGTTCTTTCTTGAAGCCCTGACCCGAAACGGCAAGCAGGCACACAGGCAAAGAGGCATGCAGGCCCAGAGGCGCACACACAAGGACACCCCCCTAATCTTTGAATCCTCTGAGCTCTTACACCCTAAACCCCCAAGCCCCCTAAACCCCCCCAAACCCTAAGTCCCTAAACGCCAAGTAAACTGCCAAACCCCCAAAAAAGCGCTGAGCCCTAAAGTGCAAAGCTCCAGAACCTTCCCGCCTAAATCCTACAACGCTGCACCCCCTAACCTTTGGTAGCTGAGTGGTGTCCTTTTGCCTTGTGTGAGTATTAGATTCCCTTATAACAGTAATTATCCAGCCCCCAAGAAGAGTTTCGGGTATAACCCTAAACCCTTTTTAGAGCATGGTTACTGGAACTCACAAGCCGAGGAGAAGAACTGGAAAGCCAGCATAATGCCAGCGGATGCTCAGTTCTGCGACCGCGCCGAAGCTCAACGTGTGTCAGGGCTTTGGGTTTCGGGCTGAAGGACCCAGAGTAGGCCCTTGTTTCCTTGTAAGCCCCTTTGAACCAAAAACGGCACCCTTTGGATTCCTGGGTTGCTCTTGGGGTCCCTCAATCTGTGCAGGGTATATAAGGAGTATACTGTACAAGGGGTACACTTTTACGGGCCGCCATGTAATTACCCTTGAGTTTAGGATTTTGGGGTTTGTGGGTTCAGGGGTTGGAGTTTCTAATGAATCCAAAACCCGAAACCCTGAGACCTTAAGTTCTAAATCGACAGTGGTTCATTTCTAGGGCTTAATTAGGGTCTATAGCCCTAAACCCGAAACCCTAAACCCTAAACCCTCCCTTGGATGGCAAGGCAAGTACCGCTGCAAAGCCTTTCACAAGCGGGGCTCCGAGGGAGAGAACAACATGGGCTTGTGCGCCATGCGCCTGCGGCCGCACGACCCCAGACCCTTCAGCACTGAGCCCGAAGCCCTAAGCACCAGGGTTTAGGGGTTAGGGTTTAGGGTTTAATTTAGGGTTCTAAGCCCTAACCCCTCAACCCTGGTACTCTTTTTCCCCTGTTTTAGGTTCAAGGTTCCCATATCAAGTACCCAACCCAAAAGAGGGTTTAGGGTTTAGGGTTTAGGGTTTAGGGTTTAGGGTTTAGGGTTTAGGGTTTAGGGTTTAGGGTTTAGGGTTTAGGGCTAGCAGCTTGGGGTTCCCTTATCCAGTAACCAACCCAGAAGGGGGTGTACCCTCATGCTAATATGGCCACTTGGCTACCAAGTCGCACCAAACCCTCTAAGCTTTAGCTTGGGTTTATTGCTCGGGGAAGTGAGCCAGGACTTGGGCCTAAAACCCGAAACCTCCTAAACCTCCTAAGGCCCTCACACCTCCTCAGCGCCGTGCTCCTACCCCTTCACCTCTTGCATGGCTTGTAGGGGTTTTTTAGGTGTCCTGAGCCTTAGGGGTAAACCCTAACCCCAAAATCCTACAGGAAATCCCATGACAGATTCTCTGTTCTGACTGAAGTTGTGGTGAAGACGGCTTATAGGGTTTAGGGTTTAAGGTTCAGTGTGTCAGGCCTATTACATGGGCCCTGGGGTTCAACAAAGGGGACAGGAGGCAACAGAAAAAAATGAAGGGCTGCTGCTGTTAGGCTACTGAGGGCTTACAGAGCCCTTTGAGGGATTCAAAAGGGGGCTTACAAAGCCCTTTAAGGGATTGAAAAAGGGTTGTTTGAATCCAAAAGTCCTGACCAAGAGCCGGTTCAAGTTTCCGTGACATCCCCTCTGCCCGACCCCACTACAGTCTGAGTCATGACCAGCAAAGTAAGTCGCCGGAAAGACTTAAAAAGCCACGCCCAACCCTAAACCCTAACCCTATAAACCCTAAACCCTATAAACTCTGAACGCTATAAACCCTATAAACCCTAAACCCGATAAACCCTAGAAACCCTAGGTTCCCTAGAAACCCTAGAAACCCTAGAAACCCTGGAAACCCTGGAAACCCTCGAAACCCTAGAAACCCTAGAAACCCTGAACCCTCAACCCCAGCGCTTCGCATGCCCCCGAGGCACCTGGTAGACTTCCTCAGCAAGGCCCTCGGGGTGCTTGGCCGTTGGACGTTTCGGGGTTGCGGGGTTTGGAAGAGGGTTTAGGATTCAGGGCTTTGTGTTTTGGGGCTTCGGGTTAAGGGTTTTCAGGTTCAGGGCTTTGTGTTTAGGGGTTTGGGGTTTAGGGTTTAGGTTGTCGCGGCTTGGGAGATTTGCTGACATCTCCCGACTTCTCTGCTTCAAGTGCCCTACATTTTGTAGGGCTTAGGGCTTGGTTCTGCCTTTGGGCACTTCCCCGCAGCAAAAACCGCTTAAGTCTTGAGTTCCGAGGTTAAGTACGTTCCTTGTATCCATTCCCTAAACCCCAAAACCCCAAACCCTAAACCCCGAAGCCCAAACCCTAAACCCCAAACCCTAAACCTCAAACCCTAGACCCTAAACCCCAAACCCCAAACCCTAAACCCCAAACCCCAAACCCCCCAAATCCCCAAAAGGCTGTAAATACGCTCTCCCGCATCCTTTAGGGCTGCCACTGGAAGATGATCGCGTGCAGCTGGGTTGCCGTCAGGGAAGGGAAAATGAACTTGCCCTAAATGGGGTTGGGGTTTAAAGGTTTGGGAGGTTTAGGAGGTTTAGGGTGTAGGGGTTTTGAGGGGTTTAGGGGTTAGGGGTTGGGGGGGGGGGGGGGGGGGTTTTCTGGGGTTTAGGGGTTAGGGGTTTAGGGAGTTTAGGGGGTTTAGGGGTTTAGGGGTTTAGGGCTTAGGGGTTTGGGGGTTTAGGGGTCAGGGTTTAGGGGCTCTAGGGGTTTGGGGTTTAGGGTTTGTAGGGTTTAGGGGTTAGGATTTAGGGGTGTAGGGGTTTAGGATTTAGGGTTTGGGGTCTACAGGTGGGGTTTACGATATTCGGGCTACCTTCTTCGGGTCCTGCTTTAAAGGGGAATATTATTTTTGGGAGCCTATTACGGGTCCCTTATTTTCGTAAACCCCCAAATAGGGTGAGGGCTAGTGGTTAGGGTTTTGGGGTTTAGAATTTAGAGCCGAGGTTACATAGGAAGGGTGGTTGCCTTCTCGTTGTAAGTCCTGCAACCAAAAAAACCCCTAGGCCCCCTTTGCCCTGGATCCTGATTGTCAAGTTGCAAGTTCCTCAACCTTAAGCACCTAAACCCTACACCTCTAAACCCTAAACCTTAAATCCTAAACCCTAAACCTTAAACCCCAAACCTTAAATCTTAAACCCTAAACCCTAAATTCCTAAGCCCTTGGCTCGAGTCCTCCCAAGTTCCCCCCCCGAACAGCAGCCCAGGCAACGCCAGCAACTTCGGGCGCTTGGGAGACCAGCGCGAGCAGCAGATCGTGCTCCGCTACGACGACTTCGCCCACCAGGCCATCGAGACCAGACCCTAAACCCTACACCCCAAACCCTAAACCCTAAACCCTAAACCCCAAACCCAAACCCTAAACCCTAAACCCTAAACCCCAAACCCCAAACCCTAAACCCTAAACCTTGGTAAGGTTTGTAGGGTTTGCAGTATGCACACACGAATTCACCCCTCAAACCTAAACCCTTCCCACCCAAAACCCTAAACCCCAAACCCTAACCCTAAACCCTAATCTCTAAACCCTCAACCCTTCCCAAAGGACTGCGATCACCTTCTTGTTGAGCTGCGCGATGTCGGGTATGTCGAGGCACGATCCCTGAACCCTATTGATTGCAGATTATTATAGGTTATATGGTGGTTTCACCCAGGGAGGGTTTAGGGTTTATTAGGGTTTAGGGCTTAGGGCTTAGGGCACCCCCCCATATGGTTGGGTTCCGACAGTAGGGGTACCTTATTGGGGTCTTTATAATAAGGGATATAATAAGGGAATCCTACTATTTGGGGATCTATGTCAGGGTTCCCCCCATCTTCGTAATCCCCCCGTACGTGTATTCTTAGGGTTTAGGGTTTAGGGCTTCTAAGATGAGGAAGAAGGGTTTAGGGTTTAGGTTTTAGGGTGGCAAGGGTTCAGGGTTTAGGTTTTAGGGTTGTGGGTTCAGGGCTTCGGAGAGATGGCCATACGACGTTGTCATGATTCAAGCTCTTGCCCTAAACACCTGTGAACTGCCCCGTAAGGTCTCCCTGACCACCAATCCCCTCCCCTTAATGTTTTTACCCCCCCCCCCCCCTACCCCCTACCCCCGAATACTAACTCCCCCGCCACCGCCAGTATAGTTCTATTAGAGTGCATGGGGGGGCTTCACCTTAGGGGGTGGGGGGAGGGGGTGTCCCTGAAACCCTAAACCCTAAACCCTATGCCCTGCTGGAGCCCTACTTGAACAAACCCTACCAGAGACCATGCAGTCCATGTTCTGCCGTGACGAGGGTCCCTTCAATGATAAGGGCCTTCCATGTGCGTCATCATTTTGTTCCATCTCTCGGGCTTATAACCTTTTAAGCAATCATCGTAAGTCGAGTAAGCGCTCACCTCCAGGCGTCGAACCTCCCCCAAAACCCCTGGGGATCCGAAGTATGTGCCCCTATTATGTATGGTGTGTATAAGGGTTATATAGCAAAGAGCCCATTTTAATTAAGGGCCCGTCCTTGGCATCTTAGTCATACGGAGGTAAGTGGTATTCAGAATGCCCCTTCTGCGGCTGCTGCCATGCACGAGTCACTCGGCAGATCTTTGTGTTATCTGTGGTCTTTGCATGCAGAGTGTCCGAACCTCTCAACCCTAAATCTCAAGCCCTCATCCTAAACCCTAAAACCCAAATCCCCGAACCTCAGCCCAACTCATCGGAACCCCCGGTAGGTAGAACCGGCCGCGGGAAGTAAACTCCAGAACCAGCCAGACACCAGACACTCGCAGCTGCAACTTCTTGCTGATTGTATCAAGCCTCCACTTGCTTTGGCCAGAAGAAGCCCGAGTTAATTCGATCCGAGCCTGCCTTAGGGTTTAGGGTTTAGGGTTTAGGGTTTAGGGTATATGGTATAGGGTTTAGGGCTTAGGGCTTAGGGCTTAGGGCTTAGGGCTTAGGGTTTAGGGACTTAAGGTTAACAGAGAATTTCTAAGGGTTAGAAATTCTCTGTTAACCCTAGACCCCTAAACCGCTAAACCCTGAACCGTTTTGGTGAGTAGGATTCATGGGAAAAGGTTCTTCAGCCACCAGTGGCGCTGCACCGAGTACCGCAACAGCGTCTTCGAGGTCTTCAATGCCAAGTACTGCGACCGCAAGTATAGGACCGCAGGAGGATGTAGGGTGTAGGGTTTAGGGTTTTTAGGGTTTAGGGGCAGGAGGATGTCGAGGGATTCTCGGAGAGTTTCTCTCTGAATTGTGGTCTTTTTTTGGAGCATTTTGAGGGATTTTCGGGGAGCTTCTCTCTGAATTGTGGTCCCTTTTTGGAGGTTCGTCTCAGAGTACAGAGCCAGTTGGGGTACGTAGCATGGCTCGAAGCCGACAAACCTCAAGGTCCCGAAAGCCATCTAAGGCTTTCGGGTTTCCAACCAAAGCTCTCCTGAACCCGCTAATGGGTTTAGGATTCAGGGGTGCGGTTGAGGGCTCAGGGTTGCAGAAGCACCCTTAACCCTAAATCATAATTTTAAACCCTAACCCTAAACCCTAAACCCTACACCCTACACCCCAAACCCTAAACCCTAAACCCTAAACCCTAAACCCTAAACCCTAAACCCTAAACCCTAAACCCTAAACCCTAAACCCTAAACCCTAAACCCTAAACCCTAAACCGCAAGCAGGACCCCGCCGAACTTTTACTTTCGAGAGGGCCTCTGGAACAACCTCGGCCGGCGAACGCTAGAGCTGGTGCGCCGGGTTCTTGGGGTGTTCGGCCGATTGGGGTTCATACCGGCTCATGGGAAGGTTGGGGGGGGGGGGGGGGGTTCGCTATCTAAGAGCACCAACTCTAATTCCTTGAAGACACTAAACCCTTAACCCTAGTCATTCTATATCAAGTGCCTAAAAGTCCTCAACCCGTTCTTTACACGGCTTGGGTAGAAAGAATCAGTGACTCCTTTGGGGAGGTTGTTAGGTCTAAGAGAGTTTCTCTGTGGTGCTTTACTGTAACCTTAGGTCCTTAGCCTTTTTGGGTTTATTGGGTTTCTTAATCAGGCAGCTAAAACTTTAATTTTTTGCTACCCTACTACGTGCAGCCAAGGTTTGGAGGGCGCCATGGGAACACCAACGGTTTAGCGTTTAGGGGTGTTTAGGGTTCGGGTTTTGGTTCTGCCTGTAAAAGAGCTCCCATATTCCGAAGGTTCCCTTACTCATGTTCCCATGGCCCTAGATGACTAAACCCTGTAAACTCTCAACCCTGGCAAGTTGTTGTTGATGGGTACGCGATAGGGAACCTTGCCAAACGAGGGTTTCCAATGATCAACCCTAAACCCTACGCCCGAATCCCTTCTTATGGCACCTTTCTGTGAGTTTTCTGAAGAACCGAGGTTGTTACCCCCGACAACCCTGGGCCCTAATGCAGGGGACAATCTGGCCCATCCCTTGTAACAAAAGCAAAAACAACGTCAGGCCCCTTAGGGCCCTGAAGTTCAACAAAGCAAGCAACCTTTAAACACTAACCTAGTTCTCCTCCCCAATCAAAAATCACGTACCAGTCGAAGGCCCTAAACAAAAAAGACCACGCACACACCACACAAACACGCAAGAGCAAGAACCCAGCCCTGTCAATCCTAAACCCGAAGCCTGAAGCCCGAAACCCGAAACCCTAAACCCTAAACCCCAAGCTGCCCCAAACCCCTCCCCCCCCTCCCGCACCCCCCTCCGCGCCCGCGCACCCCCCACCCGCCCGCACCCTAACCCTAAACCCTAAACCCTAAACCCTAAACCCTAAACCCTAAACCCTAAAGGCAACCTTCATGAGCAGCCGGGGATGGGAGCTGGCAGCCTGCAACGGCGGCAGCCTCACCCTCCCGAAGCAGAAGCAGCATCTCGGGCTGGAAGGGGAGGGTTTAGGGTTTAGGGTTTAGGGTTTAGGGTTTAGGGCTTAGGGCTTAGGGCTTAGGGTTTAGGGTTTAGGGATGTTTAGGGTTTAATGAGTCTTGTTTTGTTTAGGGTTCAGGGTTTTGTTGCGGTTTCTTTTTTTTGTTTGTGGTTTAGGGCTTGTTTTTTGTTGTTTAGGGCTTAGTTTTTTGGGGTTTAGGGTTCAGGGTTTAGGGTAAAGCGGGTTCTTGCTAAGGATCCTCCATAGCCGGGTGAGAAAGCACAGATACTTAACACAATAGAGTACCCTTATCATGGAAACTTCGTGCAAGATTCTTATAAGAACGGCCCAGTAAACGGATCGTCTGCTTCCCACAGCAAAAGCAAAATATCTTAGATCCCTCAACCCTAGACCCCAAAGTCCACCTGGGACTCTCTCTACCTACAGCTTCATGCGGTTGTTCCTACTAATTCAGGGGTAGTTCCTCCTAAACTGTAGGTAAAGAAAGCCCCAGGTAAAAACATGTGCCGTGCAGTCTCAGAAATCCCTCCGCTTCCCTAAACCCTAAACCCTAAACCCTAAACCCTAAACCCTAAACCCCCACGGAGGCACAACGGCCTGGTACGAGAGCATCAGATCAAGTTCGTCGGTGCCAAACGAGATGCTTGGCTGTGCAACTTGGGGATAATAGGGTTCTTAAGAATTAGAATGCGGTTTTGGGGGTTATTATGGTAAAACGATATAGGCGCCTTAAGAGTTAGAATACGGCTTTGGGGTCATTATGGTAAAACGATATAGGCGCCTTAAGAATTAGAATACGGTTTTGGGGTCATTATGGTATAACTATATAGGCCTTAAGAATTAGAATACGGTTTTGGGGGTTATTATGGTATACTATATAGGGGCCTTAAAAATCAGAATACGGTTTTGGGGTTATTGTGGTATATCTATTTGGTGCCGAAAGAATTAGAAAACGGTTTTGGGGGTTATTCTAGTGTAAGCATAAAGGGACCAGAAGGGAAAACGACTAGCAGTTATTTCGACCCCTAAAATTGCACTCCCCTACGGTAAGCCCTGAAGCCTAAACCCTCAATCCTCCACCATGGAGCCACAAAAGGGCGCCGATCAAGTTTAGGATTAAGGGTTTAGGGTTTAGGGTTTAGGGTTTAGGGTTTAGGGAAGAGAGAAGAGGGATGGCAGTGGTATGCAGTGATCTTTAAATCAGGCCTTTTGGTGGGGCTCCATGCTGCTTGAGTGTAAGATGTGGCCCTATGTTTGTTTTGATATCTAAGTTGTGGTCCGATCCTGGTGGCTTCTGGGGGTTCCTACTGCGGCGTGCCCACAAAAATCGCTGATGCTTAGAGAATTGTCCGGGCTGAAAATGCCCTGAGAGCCCAACCCCCCGCTTACTTCAGGACACATATTAGCCTTGCCCCACACATAACGAAGAGAACCCCTTTTTGGAATCTCAGCTGCATTCCTTCCTTTAGAGGGGGGTTGTTATCTAAGCTGTTCATCGCTCGGGCCTGAGAAGCCCCCGATGATCGCTCGAGCAACCTGCCGTCGCCGATTCCTTGCAGGGTGGAGCCTAGACCCCAAGCAAGCGAAGCCGGCGAAGCCTAAGCCCTCAATTTCATAAAATCTCTACTTGGGACTCTCCTTACCTACAGCTTTTTGGTTTCTACCTGCTATTTAAGGGGTATTAAAACTGTGGGTAAATATAGAGTCCCGGCTAAACCCTAAACCCTAAACCCCCAAAAAAACCGTCCAGGACGGCTTGGCGACCTGCCCTCTTCTCATGGTCGAGTTCCGGTCCGTTCCTGCGAGAGACATGAAGGGCCGCGCCTCCCATGAGCGTCGCGGCATCAAGGAGGGCGTTTAGGGTTTAGGGTTTTGGGTTTAGGGTTTTTTTAGGGTTTTTTAGGGTTTAGGGTTTCGGGTTTATTGGTTTCGGGTTTGGGGTGTTTGGGGTTGAAGGGTTTAGGAGTTTTATGGGGTTTACGGTGTTTGAACGGATGGTTGTCTTTGAGCCCCAGACCCTAGAGGAACACCTATACACCTCCGGTGCCATGTACTGGCGTTCGTGTCATGATTATGCTGTTGGCAGAGTACCCAAACGATGTGCATGATCAAGCTTCAGCGCAATCGGCGCCCTAAACCCTAAACCAAACCAAACCAGCTCTGGGTCCCTTCGGCGCAGGAACGGCAGGCCGTAGTGAAGCTTTCTGGGTTCAGGGGTCAATGATTCAATGTTTTCCCAAACCCTAAACACTAAACCCTAAACCCTAAACCCTAAACCCTATAACCCTGAACCTCGAACCCCAAATCCTGAACCCTGCCATGGGGCTCTGATTGTCGTCAGAGGCGCTGACCCTCACAAGACCCAACCCTCAAAACCGTGCACCCTTGAATACTTACTTACTGTTGGTGAGTAGGAAATGAGGGAATGCGGTACCCTATACTGCCCTAAAGGGCATATATAGGGGGATGTAGGGTACTTCCTTCCCTCATTCCCTACTAAACAACAGTAAGTTTAGGTCGTTCATTGAGATCACTGGCACAGACGTCGATGGTGTTCACGGCAAGCTGGCCGCCTTCGTGCAGACGCCCTGCTGCAGCGTGGGACCGTACTTTCAGGGTTTAGGGTTTAGGGTTTAGGTTCATCAAGAGTTCGGTAGCTTAAACCGGTTGACTGTGCTAGAATAGTGTCAAGTCTGCATACTGCACATGAGAACATCCCCACCCATGCAGGTAAGGAATTCTCTGAGGATGCTCTTGGGGTTGGGCACTCCAGAAATTCGGGGGATACTCTTGGGGATACTCTTGACCAATGGACGGAGTCTCTGGTGATACTCTGGGGTTGGACACCAGAGGCCAGAGGTTCTGTGGATACTCTGGATCCAGGGATTCTCTGAAAAATACTCTGGGGTGGGATACGGGTTGGGCGAGGAGTAGAGCGGGCGAGGAGAAGAGTTTAGTTTCAAATGTGCACCGAGGGTGGGGAACAATGTTACGACGTGTGTGTATATATATATATATATAGTATGCACGTTTTCTCCATGCTACGATCGACATTCGTGATGCTAGCGAGTGTGTTCGGATCAGGTGGACCGTAGGTATCTATTCGTTGATCTGTCTATCATACGCATATACATGTACGTGTACAATGTGTGTGCGTGTGGACCGCTACTGAAACACTGTTTGAGGCGAGGCGGGATGATTCGTTTCGATGCAATGTGTAGGTGTGCCTGCGCATTCCTGCCAAGCCAGGGGCCACATGCAGAGTCGACTGGTTGCAAGAGGGACGCCGTCGTGCGATTTGTGCGGCTCGGTCGCAACCATCAGGGCGATGTCTACCGGTCTGCTGTTTTACCTGCACTCCCCGACCCCTACCTTTGCAAGAGGTGTCAACTATCCTAGACCCTAAACCCCTAAACCTTAAACCCTATTCTCTACACTCATCCTGCGAGTGTAGTTCAAGTGTAGCTGGCGGCGCGTGATTCGGGGGGGTCTCAGGATTAGAAGGGTTGAGGCTGCCCTACCCATAGACCCAGCGATATAAACCCTGTAAGTTCACGCGGGGCGTCGTTTCAGGGCTTTCTAGGGGTATTTCGGGGGTAGCAACCCCTAAACCCTAAATCCTAAACCCTAATCCCTAAGGTGTGTCTGCGACGGGGTAGGTTGGGCTAATGGCCGTTGCATCCACGTAACTCTCCCCCTACTGCGTGCACATGTTTGAATATCTTGACCTGCATTCACTTGTTCAGGTTGTTCGCTTTGCCCCAGGTCAGCCATTCATCGGCAGTGAAGCGACGATACTTATTGAAGTTGTGTTTTGCTGGCCTCTTGTTGCACGATGCCGTCGCGATGCTGCGGGCTCCGTATACCATCAAGGACATCGGTTCCGATCAGCGCCGCCCGTCGCCTCGCGTGCGTGTGGCGGGGCGATGGTCAGCCAGGTCAGAAGTGACCTGCTTCGACCTTCGCCTGTTTTGGAGGCGCAGGATCGCAAGCATCGGGCGACCGCTTGACTGGGGTTCTCAGACGCGGTGCGCGCGGAGAGCAAGCTTCTGTCTCTGTCAGCTGGGGGACTTGGCTGCTGATCATCTCCTCCCTTCGTTCATGGACCGCGGCCCGTCCACGTTGCACCGCCACTTATCTGGGTGGCGTCGGTGGCTCTCTTTCTGCGCGAATGCTTCATGGTCGCCAGGTGGCATGCCGGAAGAAGTCTGCCCTGGGCATCCTTTCATCTCTCCGCTTTGCAGCGTCCAAATTTCAGTTGGAGCAGTTCGCCGCAGCTTTGAGTAGCCCCGCGAAGCGCGACTTTGTGTTGGGACCACATTGGCACTCCCTTCGGATACGCTGGTGTGCTTTCAGCTGCTCCCGCATTTTCGGAAGATGCCTTGTTACGTGCGCGGGCCTCAAAACCACCTTATTGCTTGGGGGTTTCAGGTCGGGATTGCCAATGTACTCAGGGAGGCCCAGGGCCATCATCGTTCAGCGTCTGTTTCGTCCTGTGTGAGAGGCTACTCTCGCACGACATCAACCCGCAGCTTCGGATGGTCCAGGGCTGGCGTCCCTATGTTCCTGTGGAGCGTGGATGAGGCGCTGCTTGCTGAGCCTGTCCCAGCGTTATCTGCAGGGTCTGCCTCTGCGGCTGTGCTGTCGGACACTGAAAATAAGTCTGAGGAAGGCGACATCCAGGATAAACCTGAGCTGGGTGAGGTGGGTCATTTCTCGGAAGCCGACACCGTGTTTGACATCGAGTCCGAAACGGGTGAGGTTGAGGATACGGTCCCCTTGGATGATATGGCAGCTTGCGATGGCCACTTGTGATTTCGGCAAATGTGTATGGTGCAAAGTGCGCAAAGTCTGGGTGTTCGCGTGCCGCCCGAGCCTATCACTGGGCGATCAGTGTACGCGCTGGACTCGCCATCCTGATTTCACGGCTTCTGGATGTGTGGTCACTCGGGCGGCTGCCTCCTCATGGCTCAGACTTTTGGAGGGCTTCTTGGACCAGGCTCTGCAGGACCCGCTTTGTTCCCGTGATTGACGTAGCACGCCAAAGATCCACTGTTCAGCGAAAAATCGTGTGATGTCGGGCGCAGCTCTCGCAAGCTGCAAATTGTGTGGCGAGCATCACATTGGGAATATGCGATATCAAAAGGAAACGGCCTCGCAGCTAAGCAGGTGCTGCGCAGGTTTGAATATCTTGACCTGTATTCGCTTGTTCAGGTTGTTCGCTTTCCCAGGTCAACCATTCATCGGCAGTGAAGCGACGACATTTTATTGAAATCCCGCCCTCCCCCCTACATGGGGCATGCGTGTCGGCGAGCGCCAGCAGTGCCGTAGTTGGTGACGGTTGGCTCAAGGGCCCCCCCCCCCGCCCCCCTCCCCCCCTCCCCCCTCTGCCTCCCCCCCCCGCCCCCCCCGGATCCCCCCGGCAAGTACACCCTGAAAAGTGCGAAGGCCAGTTGCTTCACCCAGCCGGCTCGGCAATGTCCGTGTTAGGGTTTAGGGTTCAGGGTTCATGTTCAGGGCTGAGGACTTTGGTTCAGGATTGGCTCCTTGTGAGGCTACTCGTTTTTTGAAAATCCTTTGAGGATACGGCCCTATGTGGGCCTTGAGAAGTTCAGAGCCAAAACCTACTTCTTGTTCTTGGTTCTTCTTGCACCATCACCTTTTGGGATGCTTAGGCAACCTGCAAGAAGGTAGGCTAAGGTAGGCTCCAGGTTCTGAAGACTGAGGAGGATGGCAAGTCGCCTGATAAACACCTCAACCCTAAACCCTGCTGCTTCATCATGTTTTTAGGGTTTAGGGTTTAGGGTTTGCCTCCCTGAGCCCCAAAAATCGAGAGAGGCCAAAACCTGCCACATCAGGAACCCAAGACCCTGTTTGGCCAAGCGCCCTCCACCCCCCCTCCCCCACCCCCGCACGCCAGCAAAAGTCGCGGGGTTAGGGTTTAGGGCTAGGGTTTAGGGTTCAGGGGTTTTGGGAAGCCGAGGTTTCGTCTGCGACGCGTTCCAGATGAAGGAGGCAGACTTGGTCCGCAAAGAAGGCCGCGGCTTTCGATTTAAAGATCCCTTCCGGGGACGTTATTTACCCAGAGTTTATTCGCAACTAGACCTTAATTAGCAGGTATCACCAATTAAGTCGCAGGTAAAGAGAGTCCCAGGTAAGCGCTAAGCTCCACAAGCCCCAAACACCCCTAAACTCCAAAACTCCAATTACCAAAAACCCTAAACCCTAAACCCTAGCCCTAAACCCTAAACCCTCAACCCCTCTTGAGTTGCGGGGGTTCCGCCTTCAGGGAGAGGCGCCCCTAGCAGTGGGCCCCAATTCCCTAGCAACGTTAACAGGAGGGGCCCCCTTACTATGCTAACTGTAGTTGAGGGACTTAAAACCTAATTTAGGATCCTTATTACCCAATTTAGGGGGTCCTTATGACTCTACTTATTACTAGAGGGGGGGCCCCTGAACCCCATTGAAATCCCCCAAACCCAAGCCCCCCGAAGCACTCAAGCCAAAATGCTAAACCCTAAACCATAAAACCTGAACCCTGAACCCTGAACCCTGAACCCTGAACCCTGAACAGAATAAGGAAACTAAGACGGGGTTTGGAGGCCGCTTTCTGGGCGAGAGCAACTTCGGCAAGTACGCGATGCGGCTTTGCGACTTCATGGTGGACTACCTGGGGGAGCCTTGGTGGGGTGAGTGTAGATAGGGTTCCTTGTGATTCTTGGTGCTTGCGCATATTGGGCGTCCATTGGGGGAGACCAGGGAGACCAGGAATGAAGACGTCGTATCTGTCGCGTTTCGGGCCTGCTTGAGGGATTGGGGCATGTGTTTTTTAGATATGCAGTGTTAGGAGATCTTAGGGCAGGCGCTGCCTCGTCGGGTTTATGATCTACATGGAGAGCTGAAAACCCTGAACCCCCCCCCCCCCTCACTTCATGTTGGTGCTTTGCTTTTTTGTTACTTGAAGGCTTCGGTCCTTCGGCTCGTGAATGAACCTGGCACACGCCCCCCCCCCCCCCCCCCAACGTTGAACTCTAAAGCCCTCTATAGGATTTAGGGTTTAGAGTTTAGGGTAGGCACTGCCTTTCACGAACCATGGGTAGTCGGGTGGCTCCACATGTCCAGGAGTGGGATCTCCTGGTGTGCAACAACAACTGCCTCTTGGACGCGGGCTCAGGGTTTAGGGTGTAGGGTTGAGGGTGTAGGGTGTAGGGTTTAGGGTTGACATGGTGGTGGTCCCCCTCTATCGTGGCTCCCGCTTACCTGTTACAACTGCCCAGCACTTCTAGGTCATACTCGCCGTCCACGAATGTATCTAAGGAAGTGCTTTAATTCGCCTTTCGGGCGGTGTATAGCTTGGATACCACGCGTCTGTTGCCTTGCTTCTCCTGGCAGTATGCCCTTGCATGAGGTAGGTAGTTTATTGCTTGCCTCCCCAACAGGAACCACCTAAATCCCCCAAACCTTGAGAGGTTTATGGTCTAGGACTAGGGTTCAGGGTTTAGGGCTAGTGTTTAGGGTTTCGGGTTTAGGGTTCTTAGAGTGGGCCCGAGGTGTGACAGTGCCAGTGAAAGGCCAGACGGCGGTGGCCCGGGAGGCAGCCGCGGGGCCAGGGTTTGGGGTTTGAGGTTTGGGGTTTAGGGTTTAGGGTTTGGGGTTTAGGGTCTGGGGTTGTGGGTTGTAGGTGTTCCTAATCGTGCTTAGGGTTGTGTGGAGTTTAGGGTCTATATTAGGGTTTAGGGTGGTGTTTACAGGGCCCTAAACTGCTAACTGATGTCATCTCTCTCTTGAGCCACCCAGGTCTATCTCATAGGGTCAAGCGCAAGTCCCGGAGAAATCCTCCTCAGGCTCAATACCAGCCCGGGGTTGAGGGTTTCAGGCCCCCCCCTCCTCCCTGGCCCTGCCCCCCCAACAGCAAGCTAGACAGCAGGGCCTTCGAGCCCAACCACACCCCACACATAAAGGAAAACCATTCAACCTCAAACCACAATCATTGAGCCCACGTTGAGCTTATACAGCCCATCTAGACCCCCCAAAAGCGACCCTTTTGTCTCCAAGGTAGCTGAAACCCTAGCAACTTCAGGCATGTCCCTGACTTAGGCAGGGCAAGCCCGGAACCCCAAGACCCTTAACCTCTCAATCCCAAGCCCTGAGCCCTAAAGCCATGGACAATGGAGCCTGATTAGACCCTACAACCCTGCACCCCTAAACCCTCAAGCCCCAAAAGCCACAAGAAACCCTGAACCCAAACCCTAAAACCCAAAACCCTCAACCCTCAACCCTCAACCCTCAACCCTAAACCCTAAACCCTAAACCCCAAACCCCAAACCCTAAACCCAACCCGAAACCCTAAACCCTAAACCCTAAACCCTAAACCTTAAGCAGGCGCAGATGTTCTTCCGCTACCGGCGTACCGGGCGCGACGTGTTCCTTTGCGATGCCCAGGATCCTCGGGCCCGACTTCGGGGACTTTTTGCAATAAAGGGTTTATAGGGTTTAGGGTTTAGGGTTTAGGCTTCGGTTTTGGGGTTTGGGGTTTGGGGTTTAGGGTTTAGGGTTTGGGGGGGCGTGGGGGGGCGGGGTGGGGGGGGGGGGGGGGGTAGATGATCCCGGTTTTTTTTGTGTTGATGTGGTCCCCAAGTACTGATGGCTTGCACCCGAAGGCCTCCACACATGTGTCTTTGGGGTGATATGGGCAACTGAAAGCCCGACGCCCTGAACCCAATGGCCCCTCGATGTTGAGCCACAAAGCCCATAGATTTCGTCCCCGGGCTGCCGTGTTGCAAGGCGCTTGACTTGCTCAATTAGGGGTCAGAAAATGTAGTCTTTGACGGAGCTCAAGGTTTAGGTTTCTAGGAGCAGCTGCCTTAAATCCCATGACTATGACCGTAGAATAGACTGTATATGAGATATGATATATCAACAATACATATACGCACATTCTACCAGATAAGTTTTATGTAATGCAAGATATACTAACCTGAGGGAGCCCAACACCTTGCAATGAACTGAATAAGTGGAGCCCTCTTTCCTCATTTCATCACAAGCACCCCTCTACATAGAATTTTGAATAAGGCCCTAAATCCTAAGCCTTAAACCCTAAACCCTGATCCCTAAACCCTTAGCCTCTACGGAACCCCCCCCCCCCCAACAGTCAGGCGGCTCGCCTGGGGCGTCCCCCCAAAGCCGCGCCAAACTACTGGCCTCCCAGACGCAAGAATCGATTCTCCAAAAATCTTGGGTTTAGGGTGTAGGGTTTAGGGTTTAGGGTCTAGGGTCTAGGGTTTAGGGTTTAGGGGCGAGGGTTGGGTGGGCTTAGGGCTTTTCAGCTTAGGGTTTGGGGGCTTTACGTTTGGAGGCTGTCCAGGGGTGTTGGCATGTGATCTATTCTCGTTTTCACCGTTTCGCAGGTTTGTGCCGGGTTTTTGTCTACCTGTACCTACTTCTGTGTGTAGGGCACTCTCTCTGCCTCTCTCTCGCTCTCTCTCTCTCTCTCTCTCTCTCTCTCTCTCTCTTTGTTTCCATTCGTCCTCTGTTTCGTAGAGCAGCAGTTGAGGGTTTAGGGTTTAGGGTAGGGCATTTAAGCGCATTTTGGTGCACATTTGTGTTTATGGTTCAGGGTTTAGGGTTTAGGGTTTAGGACTTTGGGCATCCATAAGCTTGTCAACCACAGTGAGGCAGCTGGAGGTTTAGGGTCGAAGGGCCTTGAGAGAGGGTACTCAAGGGGCTCCTTGTCCTCAGGCGCCCCTTCTCCACCTCCACAGGGGGGTGTACCCTAAACCCTAAACCCTAAACCTTAAACCCTAAAACCTTTAAAGACGCTCCATGCTCGGAGGGTCTCGGAAGGCTCAAGATCGTTGGGGAGGCCTTGGGGATTCCTTGTACAGGGTTCACATTTTTGCAGCTGAATCTTGTAAGGGATACTGTTTAGGGTTTAGGGTTTAGGGTTTAGGGTTTAGGGCAAAAACCTACAAACAATGTCGGTTTCGAGTTGCTAAGGCAGAGCCCGGCGTTTAGATTGTTGCCTCTGCTCATGGCCCTTCCTGATTCTAACGCGATTGAGGACCCCAGCAGCCAGAGCGGGGACTACAGCCCAGGAGTGCGTTTTTTGTTTTGTTTTGTTTTGAGTAGTAGGTTGAGGGCTTAGGCTTTAGGGTTGAGGGTTGAGGGCCTAAATGGACTCGCCGAAGTGGGCCAAGAGATTCCGGTTGCACGTCCCTCCTGAGCCCCTCGAGAGGACCCTAGGTGAGGGTCCTTAAGGGAGGAGGCTTCATGGGGGGGGGGGGGGGGGGGGGGGGGGAGAAGGTACCTAGGGAACCTTACCCTAAACCCTAAACCCTAAACCCTAAACCCTAAACCCTAAACCCTAAACCCTAAACCCTAAACCCTAAACCCTAAACCCTAAACCCTAAACCCTAAACCCTAAACCCTAAACCCTAAACCCTAAACCCTAACCCTGAACCCTGAAGCCTGAACCCTGAGCCGTGAGTAGACCCTTATGCTGCGTTTTGGAGGATCCTCTTCTATCAAGGGACTCGTCAAGACTCGTACCCCTAAGGCTGTACCCCTAACAGTTCCCGGAATGCACTCCGAACATGGCCCTTAGACTACCTTAAGGATCCTTAACCCTACACCCTAAACCCTAAACCCTAAACCCGAAACCCTAAACCCTTAACCCCAAAGCCCAAGTGGACCAGCTCAAGGGTGCGAGGTACAGTCCCACGATTCGAGGAATCTTTATTCCGAGGGTCTTCAGGGCAAACCTGGGCTGAAACGGTTCTGTACAAGGAGGGGCCCCCTAGTTATAAGTAGAGTTTTTCAGGACCCTGAATTGGGTTATAAGGATCCTAAATTGGGTTATAAGGATCCTAAATTGGGTTTTAAGGATCCCAAAAGAGGCTAAACGTCCCTTAGCTACAGTTAGTTTAGGAAGGGGGCCTCTCCCTGTAGGGGTTGACCTTATAAGGCATGCTCTTTACATCATCTTCACAGCCACGATCGAGATGCCCATGCGAAGCACCTAGGGTTGAGGGTTTAGGGTTTTGGGTTTAGGGTTTTGGGTTTAGGATTCAGGGTTTAGGGTTTAGGGTTTAGGGTTTAGGGCTTAGGGTCGTCAAAGCTCACCCGGATTACCGATACCCTGGCACGTGAAAGGAAGTGGTGCCCGCCACGGATGAAGAGCTGGCAGCTTGTCGGCAACTCCCTGGTGATCCCCTCCCTCTCTCAACACATAGACCCCCGAAATAGTGGGATTCCCTTATAAACCGTAAACCCTATACCCCTATAAATACAGGTATTCTTGGTTATTAAGTACTTCCTGGTGACCCCCTCCCCCTCTGAACACTTGCTTGGCCAGTGGTACCCTTTACCCTTTCTTTTGTTCTGGGTTCCCTGATAAAGTAACCAAGCAAAAGAAAAAGGGTGCCCAAGAATTCAACCCTCAATAAATGATCCTTTCTTCCCAAAACCTTAACCCCTAAAGCCTAAACCGTAACTAGACCCTACCCCCAAAACCTGACTATCTTCCCGAAGCTCCCTTGCTGGGAGTCGGGCCGTCAGGTTTTGAGGGTTTTCTAGACTTTTTTTGCGTTTTGCTTTTGTTGAGAGATTAGTTTGGTTAATTATGAAGAATGGTTCTGAACTTTTGTTGCGAATAGCGGACATTCGGCGTTGACAAGGGCAGTTAAGTTAGGAGTTTAGGTTACGGGTGACTTGCTTGCAGTAGGGCATCGGGCCAGTCTGTGGCATGACAGGGCACATGTCGAGGAGGTGTTGTGGATACTACATCACGAGGGGAAATTTCACCCCGAACCGATGTCACGGCATGGGTCACCTTAAAAAGCCCTAGCCTAAACCTAAAATCCTAAACCCCGCTGAGACCCTGAGCCCTAACACGCTAAGACCTTCAGCCCTAACACCCCAAGACCCCAAACCCTCCTTGAGCTTCAACAAACTAAGACCCAGATTAGGTTCCCGTACAAGCCCTTGAAGCCAAAAAGGACAGCACTTTTTCATTCCTAGGTTACTCTTGGGTCTAGACAATCGTATAAACAACCCTAAACCCTAAGCCCTAGACCCTAACCCTAAACCCTTAACCCTTAACCCTTAACCCTTTACCCTTAACCCTTAACCCTTAACCCTTAACCCTTAACCCTTAAACCTAAACCCCAAACCCCAAACCCGAAATGTTGAGATGTTGAGGTGATGTTGCAGGAGGTCATGGATGGCACCTACAAGGCGCCAAAGCTTGTTTCTTCTGCTTTTCCTAACAGTCCTTTATAGGATTATATTAGGGGTGGGGGGGTGCTGTAATCCCTACTAACGGGAGTCGGGGGCTGTCGGGGTTGAGGTCTTCCTCTTTGTTTTTGGTTTGGGGGGGAGGGGGGGGGAGGGGCGGGGGCGTTCGGTTTGGAAGGGTTTTGGGGTTCAGGTTTAAAGGTTCCTCGATTTGGGATTACCCCATTCAGGGCTTAAGGCTTGCAACACGAGCTAAGACTTCGGGGTTGGAGGCAGGTCTTGCAAAGCCAGCAGCTCAAAAACCCCAGTGAAACTTGGTAACTTCTCTAAGTTATGGTGCCTTTTTGGGTTTGCTACTAGAAGGCGGCCCCTAATATTTAGAATAGCCAAAAACTAAACGGGACCAACATCCATCTTGAGTTGATAACTTACAACCTCAGCTGCTCCTTAGGGACCTGATCAAGCCTGCAGTAAGTGCCATATTCAAGCACCTCCTAATTATGGTGGTGCATGTGACGCCTCTTGATCCGAAAACCTAAGCTAAACGCCCTACACCCCCGAAACCCTAAACCCGAACACCCGAAACCTTAGATTCTAATCTCACACCCTAAACCCTAACATCCCAAAATCCCAAAAATCACCAAATCTACTTGCCGTAGGTTTACCTGCAGAGTAGGTGGGAAACCCGAACCCCTAAACCCTGAGCCCCCAAGCCCCCGGACCCAAAAAACACACAGGCCTTCTTGCAAAATGGCGTCGGAGGGCCCTTCTCTCAAGGATTAGTTAGTTTCGAGTTCGCTGTCGTTGTGCCCAGGGCGAAAGCTACAACAGCTTTTGCAGCTGGCTCTCTTTGGATGCTTCAGCTGAGTTTGAGCAGCTGCCTGGGATGTGCTGATGATCCTCCATTGTCAGCTGTGCACAATCCAGCAGCAATACATGCAGATGTGGAGAGACCCGTGCCGCCAAAGCCTCAAACGCCGCAGTTCCCCCCTCCGGGTCTGCCACCTCCTCCTGGAGTTCTGACCCGGAACATGGAGCAGCCGAAGGCCATGGCGTCCCCTATGGAAGCATTGATCCATCAGGACCTTCCAATGCTTTCCGACGTGCCCACCGCACAGAAGCTGGCTCTGGCAGATATCCTGGACAGCGATCCGGAAGCAGCCGCCATGGTAACAGGAGCCTATACCTCAAGTTGCCCTACGCCGAAGTCACCCTGGCTTCCTATGCCGCCTACATATGACATGGAGACCTTCCAGTACCTTGGCAACCCAGTAGTACCCTTCTCCCTTTTCTTGGTTCAAGGTTCCCTTATATTAAAAAGGTAACCAACCCCAAACAGTGTGCCCTTATGAGAATATGCTTTCTGGGCTACCAAGGTACCTTCCCAGAAGCCTTGAGGTTTATGTGGGGCAGATGGTGGAGTTGTGGCCACCATGTCAGCTTCAAGGCTGCGTTTTTGCCGCTTGTCCCAGGCTTCCGTATGGCGTGGCGCTGGACAGGGGATCCGGGAAGGTGTACGGTCGGCCTCAGGAAAGCACCCCAGGAGCCGTGACGTAGTCCAGTGGTACCCTTTGCCCTTTTTTTTTGGTTCTGGGTTGAGCCGCGAATTTAATATGCCAACGCCCTTGTGAAGGATGCATGGATCGATTTTAATTTGGACCCAGAGTTAGCCTTTCTTCCTTTCTTTGGGTGGCATATTTGCTCTGTAAACACAACTCCCAAACCCCAAACCCCCTGGTTCTTCGTGGGAAATGAGGGATAGGGCCCCACATAAACCCTTTAAAAGATTCTATATTACAGGGTACCTGATTCCCTCATTCAATGCTTATGAACCTTAGCCCTAAACCTTAAACCCTAAACCCTAAACTCTTTTGATTCCTAGGCTTTCCTCTGGGGCCTTGATCTGGCCCACAATTTTGGCCCACCGTGGTTGAAGAGGGCTCCCAGACCCGATTTAGGGTTTAGGGTTTAGGGTTTTGGGTTTAGGGTTTAGGGTTTAGGATTAGGGTTTGGGGATTAGGGCTTAAGGGTTTAGGGTTAAGGGTGCAGGGTTCAGGGTTTATAAGGTTTCGGGTCCATGAACCTTGATGAGAGAACCCAACTTCGGGCCCCAGAAAGTACCCTGAGCCCAAAACAAACCTAGCTGCACCGCCCACCTCTCACACTTTTTGGCGCCACGTGGCCAGTGCAAGAATCTTGGCGTGCTCGGTCGCATGCCGGGCCCCCCAACAGCGGTTCCTTTTTGCTCTGGATGCCTAATTTTGGTTTTTTCGACCACACTACACCTTTTTTTAAGGCTATGCTAGCTGTGCGATTAGGTTTTTGGATTGCACGAACTTTACAATTTGGTACCCAGAGAAGGACCTACAATTAGATTACCAGTTTTGCCATCTCTTGAGGCACCGAGCACTCTCATGCCGAGTGAGGTGCGTGCTCTCGCGAGCACTCTCGAGCGGGCCTACTGCAGACAGCCTGCTGCCCCGGTTAGGGTTTAGGATTAGGATAGTTTCAATCGCGACTCCCACATGATCGGCTACTTTCAACGCAAGAGCTGCCTGCAGTGCGATATCTCTCGCCGTGCACATCTAATTCGCTCTGATCGGGGGGCCTAGGGCTTCGGAAAAAATGCGACTTGTGTGCGAGCGTGCGCGTGTTTTCCTTTTTTGTTATGGGTGTCAGGTATAGAATGAGGAGCTTGGATTGTTTGGTAATTTTCCCTTATTGGGTGCAGGTACGGGGATCCAATAAAGGACGCGTTCAGAAGGTCTTTAGGGGCAGACGTGTACACGTTACAGACCCTTGCGCCTTTTTCCTCTTGCGGTAGGAACCTTCCAAGGCCCCACAGCCCTAAATCCTGTACAGTAATGCGAACATATGAGAACCTGTACTGCCGGTTGCTACCTGCACCTTTTCTTTTCGAGTTTAGAGTTTAGGACCCCCAAGCCCCTAAACCCCGAACTCTAAGCCCCAAGCTACCCCTGTTTGGCTGCCTATCCCCGGCTCGCCAGAAGGTCAACTCGGCGGCCAGAAAGACCCGAAGAGATCCGCAAAGCATCAAGAACTACTTTAGAGGTCGGAATAGTTGCTAGTAGTATTCCCTTATGGAGCAGCAAATCACCCTAAACCCCAAAACCCTAAACTCTAAACCCTAAACCCGCAGTGCAGCGAGCCAGCGGCTCGATGTTGGAGCCTCGTTTCATCCCCCACTCTATATAGGGTTTAGGGTGTAGGGTCTAGGGTGTAGGGTTTCGGGTTTAGGGTTTAGGGTTTAGGGTCATGAGTAGTTGTGAGTGGTAGTATGTGTAGGGTAACAGTGGCTTTCACTGGCTATAACCGTATTCAGGGGTCCTTATAGCCCTACTTATAACAATACCCGCGAAACATCAAGTGCCCCGAAAACCGAGGAAATGTCCTTATCGTGTCTATCAACTTCTTTCTTTTGTAAGCACAGCAGGCTGACACTAGGCAGCCCCACCCTTTTTCCCAAACTCCCTAGACACCTACCCTAAACCCTGAAACCCTAAGACTCTCTGTCCCTCAGACCCTAAGACCCTCAGACCCTGCCACCCCCAGCCCGAAACCCCTAAACCCTAAACCCTAAACCCCAAACCCTAAACCCTAAACCCCCTGAAAGGCGGTGGCCACCAGAGACCGTGGCGGGAAGCCCATCGCCTCCCGCTTCGTGGTGGTGCAGGCGCTGCGATCCGAGAACCCCTGGCTCTGGGACCGCCGGGGTTGAGGGCGTTTAGGGTTTAGGGTTTAGGGTTTGGAGTTTAGGTTTTAGGTTTTAGGGTTTAGGGTTTAGGGGAGATGCGTTCGCTCTCACCAGATAATGCTTTAGGGGTTCGTCTGTTGCCTTTGTTCGCTGGTGCATGTCACTTAGCCGCCCCTGCAAAGACAAGTGAACGCGGTGAAGAAAATGCCATGCCAAAAGTAGTATATAAAGTTATGGTGTTCATGTCATACCTTCGTTTCTGCATTCGCTTCACTCAGCCACTCATCTCCTGATCTTTCTTGCGGCAGAACTAAGTATCAACGAACGAATGAAGGAAATAAGCTAATGCTCCAGGCGCGCCATAAAAAAGGATGCGAAAAGAGAACACAATATAGAGGGCTTTCATGAAGTCTAACTAATGGCCCGCTTTAATTCTATTCATTCATGTATTTTCCCCTTTCTCTCACTCTTTTTGCACCAAGCTTAGGGGCGTTTTGTGATAACGTTTTTATCTTCTCTTGTGGTACATCGGTACATCTTTGCTATCTTCTACTAAACATATGTTTACTTGTAGTCTTAATACTCATTCACATCTCGAAGGATGACATTTTCTTCGACAGGGAAGTGAACATAACCGTACACGATCTTTATCTCGACAAGAAATACTCGCATTATCATGCCTCCCTAGACCCTTGAAGATGTAGTGCATTTACCTTTGTTCCTATGGTCAGGCACTCCCCAAAAGGGAACTACAAGCAAGGGTCCCAACGCATCCCTAAACTAACCACACAATTTGCACGAAACGACTGAACCAGACCTGGAAACGGTGGACCCCCAAACCCACTCTAAGCCCCCTAAAGCCACCTAAAGCCTTGAGGGTTTAGGGTTTTTTTTTTAGAGTTGGAACCACAACCTCGAGGCTGGATGGGGAAAGGAGGTGCAGCTGGAGGGGGCTGGAGAGGGAGGGAAGCGTGTGCTTGGGGGGGAGGGGGGGACGGGGGTCACGTGCTTGACCCTAAACCCAAACCCCTCAAGGGGGTGTGGTTGGAGGTGGGTGCTCTGCTTCACTTGCACTTTTTTTTGGGGGGGGGGGGGGGGGGGGGGGGGGGGTGGGGGTGGGTGAGACCTCCCCGCGACTCAATCGCCTCGCAGGACCGCTATGCGGCACGCCGAGAGGCTGTGGGCGTGCAGCTGCGCAGCCGCAGCGACGGCGAGGACACTGGGGTTTAGGGCTTAGGGTTAGGGTTTAGGGTTTGGGGTTTAGGGTTTAGGGTTTCGGGTGTAGCTATTACAGCAGAATATGGGCTCGGCGCAAGATTCTCTACCACCTTGATTTGGCATGGGAAACTGATGTGTCACGCGCAGGTACTAATGTAATGCAATGGGCTTATCTTAAGTATTGTTCCTACATCCAAACCGTTTCATGTACGACTAATATATTATGATATGATATGATATTATATTGCATTATATTGTATCACATTATATTATATGACATTACATTGCATTGCATTACATTACATCATATATATATATATATTAAAATTACATATACATATATTGACATACTTGTCGTTTATGCATATTTGTACTGTTTGGCCTCTCTTTGGCCGCCCGCGTCTTCAGGAGTGCCCGGTGACGCCCTCGACACTTTCGGCCTCCTTGGGGCTGACCCTGCGCTGCCTTCACGAGGCGTTTGGGGTTTGGGGTTTAGGGTTTAGGGTTTAGGGTTTGGGATGTTTCCCCCTTCATACTATCAGCTTCTTAATGGGGATTATAATAGGGGTACTAGAATCCCGATTAAGGACTGCTAGTATATGTGGTTTCTTTGGGGAGGTTGCAGGGTGCTTGGGGCTTGGGGGTGGTTAGGGTTTTTTGTATTTCTAGGGTTTCTTTTCTAGGGCTTGCTTTAGGGTTTCTTTAGGGTTTGGAGGTTGTTGCGGCTATCTATGTGGATTTTGTTTGGGGGGGGGGGGTGTCGTACGGGTTTTTAGGAGGCCTTATGTACCTTAGAATATTATGTTTTAGTTTTTCTTGACACAGTACACAGTATTCTGACATGTAAGAAGATTTACATACATATATGTCTATGTATATATATATATAGATGCTTCTAGTTTGAAGTAGAATGCTTCCTGTGTAGAGTTGCTGCTGGAACCTCAAACATGGGTAGCTGCTGCATTTCCTCCACACTTGCCGTGGCATGCCCCTTCTAAATGAATGCAGGTTGGTCCCATCAACTTGTGGCACCTTACCCAAAGGCTCCTATGTAGTACCTTGTTGGGGTAGTATACTTGAACCCCCTTTAACTAACCCAAAAAGGAACTACCTTGGAGCCTTCAGGTAGCTCGGAACAAGGACCTCTATGCCCCAAACTCCAAACTCTAACACGTTCATAAAGCTTAACCCAGACCCCTACGTTAGGAGGATCCGAAAAGTAGATCCCCTTAAGGGTTCCTAAGCATGACCTTATAGTAGTATGGGGTTTAGGGTTTAGGGTCTGATAGGGTTTAGGGTTTCGGGTACTATCTGGGGGTTCTACTTCTTGGATCCTCCTAACAGCCTGGGCTGGTGGACTCCTGATGGCTCCGTGGGTGTTCATTGCGTCTCGTTAAAAAGACAACACCCCGCATCTGAGAAGCCCAGCCCTGAAGGCCTTCAAACCACGCTGTCGCGGTTTAGGGTTTAGGGTTTAGGGTTTAGGGCTGCGAAGCAAGGTGCATGGCAATCCCAGCAACGAGGCATACCTTCTGCACGGCTCCTGGCCAAAATTTCAAGAATGCGTTTCCAACCTTCGCCAGTTTTAAGGCTTTGTAGGGCTTAGTGTTTGTAGGGTCGAGGGTTTTACTATTTGGAATTTAGGCTTTAGGGCCAGGGGGTGTGTGGGGCCCCTAGCGGGATAACTGGGCGTTCGTAGGGTTTGCGACCATAGGGTCATGTGACCTACCTGGGACTATTTACCTACAGTTCAGTGGTAACTACCCCTTAACTAGTACTTAGAACCCATAAAACTAAAGAATCAAATCACCAGAACGGTCTTCTTTTGAAGAAAATTGCTTTTTCAAAGAGAATATTTCTGTCTCATGAAATGCAACCATGTGGTTTGAGCTCGAATTAGGTGATGTAGAACCCTTTTGTTACCAAAACTTCTGGAACCCGTAGTATCTGAAGATTAAATTTGGGTGCAGTCATTGAATGCTTGATGGTCTGGTACTAGAACAAATTTGTCACTAAGATGACTTGTTGATTTTTGGTTGAATAAATGTGTTTGTATTGCAAGTGCATAATGAATGACTTGTACCAGAAAATACTCAATTAAATTGTTTTCATGTTCCACCATTTATAAATAAAAGTGGTAGTAGTTCACATGTATTATTTTGTGGTCATGGAGAACAGTAGTATTTGAAAACAACCATATATATATATGTATAAAAATGTATTTATATATATATATATACAATATTTATGTACTTGTTATATATATATATATGCATATATATATATATATATGTATATTATCTGGTTTTTCTAAGGTAGGGTTCTACCCCTTCCTTGGGGGGAGGGGCACCTTTCGTACTCCGCTACACTCGCCGGGAGAAAAACTGGGCACCCATGGCCGAAGAGCCACAACTAAGGGACTTCAGACCCACCTGCCTATAAGTTGTTCAGAGATCAGGCTTTGGGGAAGGTTGGGGTTTAGGGTTAGGGTTTAGGGTTTAGGGTTTCGGGTTTAGGGTTTAGGGTTTAGGGTTTCAAGCTTACCTAATCTTCCGAAACCCCCAAAAATCCTAGGAAGCAATCCCACCTCGGCGCTGTCCATCCTCCGAACTTCATTCAAGATGGGTTTGGCGGGCAAGAACGCCGGGCCCCGCGTCAGAGATCTGGGAGACGTCCCTTTTGGCAGTCGTTGTCTAGGTTGGCTCTTGCAACTCCTTCCTTGTGTGTGTGCGTGTGTGTGTGTTTTTTTGGTGAGGGTGGGGGCTGTGCACAGCTGGTTTGGTTGGGTCGACTTCTCGGCCTCTTATTCCAGACCTTATATTCGGATTTGCGTCTTTTCGTTGAAGCTGGATTCTAAGCGGCTCTCTCCAAGGGTCTATGAAAACCTGAAGGTCCCTGAACCCCACCTTAAGAACCCAAGATCTACTTGTTTGTAGGCGATTAATACAACATTTGTTTGCGGATTCTGAGGTAACCTGCAAGAAAGTAGGTTGAACCCGACACCCGAAACCCCAAAACCCTAAACCCTAAAGCCAGCGTTCTTAAGGCAAGCCCTACACCCGCGAGGTATTGGTTTGCGTTGAGGCACGACCCTCATGGTACTCCACCTTGGACCCCTAAGGTTGTGCCCGTGGCTTTGGGGCTTTTTACAGATCCCTTTAAGGTAATATGGGCCATATCAGGCGTATATTAAGGGAGACCTACAACCTTAGGGCCCTAAACCCTAAACCCTTGGGACCCAGGTCGATGTTCGGCCCTGGGGTGTACCTTGCCGAGTCGTTCGGGCCCTAACGCGCGAGATGCTTGTTGGCGGGGGGGAGGGGGGGGGGGTGGGGTTTGGCATAGATTTTGCAGTTCGATGGGCCCCCCCCCCCCGCCATGGTACCTGTTTTGGGTTTAGGGTTTAGGGTTTAGGGTTTAGGGCCCCCATACCCATCCAACCCTATCAACCCCATTTGTGTTTGTAGCTTGTACCGTGGCCCCGAGGGAACCTTTCCCAAGGAAGAAGGGAATGAGGGTTTCGCGTAGGGGCACCCCCCCTAAACCCTAAACCCTCAACCCTCAACCCTAAACCCTACACCCTAAACCCTAACCCTCAACCCAAACCCCAACCACACCACCCCACAGGGGGGCCACGGGGGCAGCGACGCTGCACCATATTATATATATATATATATCTTATATAGATGTATACTTTTTTTTATTTTGTGTGTATGTGTGTGTGTGTGTGTTTGTGTTTGTGTTTTTGGGTAGTGGGGGATTCTTCGACTGGAGATCCATGTTGGTTTTCTGATACATGGAAATCTGATATTCAGTCCTGTTCCCGGAACCTGAGCCCGTCAAGGGGTTGAGGCTTCCGAAATGCCCTAAACTACCCTAAACCGGGGACCCTGAATCCTAAACCCTAAACCCTAAACCCCAAAGCCCCAAACCCTAAACCCTAAACCCTAAACCCTGGAGGGAGCCACCGAACAGGGGCTCGCCATGTTTCCCAGGTCCGTCAAGGCGGATGAGTACGCGCAGGACGACACCAACGGCTCCTACACAGGCGAGGTTCAGGGTTGAAGGCCTAAACCCTAAACCCTAAACCCCAAACCCTAAAAAGGGACTTAGGAATTGAGAGTGAAGGTTCAACTTGCAGCTTGCCGGGTTTCGGGGTTCAAGGCCGTTCAGGGGCTGGGGTTCGGGGTTTAGGGTCTAGGGCTCTAGGGGCTGCGGCTGTAGGGTGTGTAGGGCCTCAATCCTAAACCCGAAACCCTGAACCCAAATTTTTGGGGATAGTCAAGCTAAGGTGTGTAGGGCCTGAGTCCTAAAACCCTAAACCCCAAACCCTGAACCCAACTTTTGGGGCTAGTCAAGTTTGGGGGGGCTTTGGGGTGGTTTTGGAGACCTTCGGAGTTCCGAAGGCAGGAAGCACCAGCGCATCCCTGAGCTTTCCAGCTTTGCTTTGCGCGCCCGATAGATGGGAGGAAGGAAGCAAGGAAGGAAGGAAGGAAGGAAGGAAGGAAGGAAGGAATGAAGACAGAGAGAGAGAGAGAGACAGAGGGAGAGAGAGACAGAGAGAGATCAGGGAGGAGTGGGAGAGATGAGGGAGGGAGGCAGGGAGGAAGAGAGGGAGAGGAAGAGGAAGAGAGAGAGAGAGAGGGAGGGAGGGAGGGAGAGACAGAGAGTACGCGCGAGGGGAAGACGTAAAATCAGCAATACGCCAGTGAATCCCTGAGCCCCAAACCCCAAACCCCAAACCCCAAGCCCCAAGCCCCAAACCCCAAACCCCAAACCCTAAACCCCAAACCCCAAACCCCAAACCCTAAACCCTAAACCCCAAACCCCAAACCCTAAACCCCAAACCCCAAACCCCAAACCCTAAACCCTAAACCCCAAACCCCAAACCCTAAACCCCAAACCCTAAACCCTAAACCCTAAACCCTAAACCCAGTAAATCCCTGAGCCTTGGGCTGCTAGGCCTCTACGCGGTGCTCTTCTGCCGCGCTGTCGTGGGCCGCGCGCTGCAGGCCCCAACCAGCGAAAACTTGCAGTTTGGGTTTGTGTAGGGTTTAGGGTTTAGGGTTTAGGGTTTAGGGTTTGGGGTTTGGGGTTTGGGGTTTGGGGTTTAGGGTTTCAGGGTTTAGCGTTTAGGGTTTAGGGTTTCGGGAGGCTTGAGGTTCTAGAGCTTTCGACTCTTGGAGGGCTTCGTGTCTCGAATGCGCTGTGGCACTGCTACAGCAGCTGGTTGCAGGAGTTTAGGGTTTATGGTTTGGGGTTTAGGGTTTAGGGTTTAGGGCTTAGGGCTCAGAGTTTCGGGGTGTCTGGAGGTCGGTCCTGGGTTCGTGATCGCTTCGGCCGGGAGTCCTGCAGAGGCTTTACTATGCCTGACAAGCCCAAGCCCTGCAGCCAGTAACCCCGAAACCATAAAAGAGAAGGCCATAAAAGAGGGGCCTTAACAGTTCGAACAGGGTGTTGGGGGGGGTTTGGGTTTTGGGTTTAGGGTCCCAGTCTAGGGGCCTCAATTTTTTAGAATAGGGGTTTTAGGGGTCATTATCGCAGCATGTTATAAACTATATAAGGACATCGGGGAATGCCATCCGTAATCATTCCAAACCCTAAGTATTCTAGGCCTTTCAACCTCAGGCCCGCTTTAAACTCAAGACCTCCGCAGTTAGGCCCCTCGGGAGATTTGACCTTCTCCCTTTCTTGGGGGGTGTGGGGTTCAGGGTTTTTAGGGAGTCGGGTTTAAGAGGATCATGCTTAGGAAGGCCTGTGGGCCCCGGCAGCACCTTGCGTCCCGAAGAAGGCTAAGGGTTAAGGAGTTTAGGGGGTTTAGGGGTAAGGAGTTCAGGGTGTATGGGGGTTCAAGGGCTCATGGCTTCCGATGCTCCTTTGGTTAAGCATGCGAAAGCATGGGGGGGGCCTTGTAAGCGCCAGGGTTATAAGAGATGCGCTTTGAAAACTAAGGGAATCCCGCGACCCCAAACCCCCAGTACTCTAAACCCATCCTCTCAGCAAAGAAACTCCTAAACCCCATAGAAACCCTACACCCTAGACCCTATAGACCCTAAACCTAAACCCCAAACCCCAAACCCCAAACCCCAAACCCTAAACCCTAAACCCTAAACCCTAAACCCTA